ACCTCGGTACCACTATCGCTGGATATCCGAATATGTTCCATCTCTATGGTGAGATATATCCTAGTACGAACTGCTTGCGAGACAAACACTGACTCTGTACTTCCGAATTCTAGGTCCGCATGGTCCGACACTTCTTTCCAACGGTCCGACGAGCGTCGAAGTACAAGGTCGCTGGATCGTGGATGCTATTAAGCAGATTGAACGACAGGGCTTGAAGTATGTCAATCCGACAGACGATGCAAGTAAGAAGTGGAAGGCGCGCATCAATGAGTTGAGCGACAAGAGTCTTTTCCCAACGACGAAGAGTACATATATGGGCGGGAGTATGCCAGGTAAGGCTTTCGAGCAGGTCAACTACGCTGGAGGGTTGCCGGCGTATGCGGATGAGATCAGAGCCAAGCTGCCAAACTTCGAGGGCTTTGAAAAGGTCAAGAAGTGATTGGGAGGGTGGTAATGTGATGAGTTGACTGCGGAAGATGATTGTTTCTCTTTCTGGATTGCGGCATGTATTTATCTGCCTATGAGTAAATGCCTTGTTTTCGAGACTATTTGTTCCATGAGCGTGCTTTCCTCCAAACAGTGACAGTAGGTAAATGGTCCTGGAATTAGCGTCTACAGCTTCAGGGGTCTGGTTCAGATGGTGGCGCACCCGCATAGATGTGAAACTGTAGAGATATAAATCAACATGAGAATGTACCGGACATCGCAACAGGTCGAGAGAGCGACCAACAGAGTGATGATTCAGACGCAACCAGCAGCATACTCAGAAAGAGGTCTATGGATGTAATGTTTTCTATTTTGTTCTGGCCATGACGCCACCTCGTTAAATCTCTCTGCTTATGTTTGATGTGACGAATTAGAAACCTAAGTTTGGCTGGCGCATGCGCCCATAAAGGACAAGTACCAAGGGCCAAACCGATGATGAAAAGATTAACAAGAAACGAAGGGTATATGCCGCCAAAGCGAGCGGGACAATGAAGATACATGTAAACACCGGGAACTCCAAAAGCAGATAGCTGTAGATCTGGCTTTATGCTGCGCTTATTTTGATGAAGATGACTTGACGTTGTCGTGATCCATAAAGTGGTGTTGGATGAGATGATGAGTGATATAGGGATGTCCATCGGAGTATGCTGGTGATCGTGTGACGTAATGAGTAACTTGCCGTTGGTAAGAACCAGTCGCAGTCGTCACAGCGCGATATTCGGCGCGGCAACCTCCTTGATGTTCGACTTCTCAACATCGCAGAAGGGGGCTTAAGGTTCGGCTCAGCCGGAGGCTCACACATACTCTGGCCAGTAGTTGTATGGCATAATGCTGGGACCCGTCCACTTCTCGCCATAAGCGTTCGTGCGCTTGCCAGCGATGAACCCGTCGTGAGCGTGTTCGAGGACCGAGATCCACGACGAAGGTTCAGGATGTTTCATCCACTGTGACAAATTGTTAGCGTGACTTCTTTCTACTTTTGTAGAGTACTAGCTCGCGATCTCCAGACACGAGCCGTTGCCAAGCTAGGTGCTGCAGGGACAGACGAGCTAGAAGCGTCAAAGCGGGGTTGAAGTGGCAACCACATGTGTGAGAGAGCGACAAAGGGAGGAATTTCGGAGTAAGCTTACCTGATTGTGGATGTGGTAGGTCCAGGCACCCCGGAAGAAGTTCTCCAATGTACGGTTGTTGGGTGGGAATTTGTCTTCGGCCAAAACGTAATCAGTAATCACACCGGCCTTGCGAAGCTCAGCCTCTTCGTCAAGCGTGGCTTGAAACGAATCGGGATGTTCTTTGTCGCCGTGATTGGGCGTAGGTAAAGCAGCAGAAGCGGGCACATTTTCCTCCCCGCGTTTGGCAAATGCATCGCCAGCCGTCCTAAGCTCTTTGCGTTGCGCGTCCTTGAGGTCGATGCGATCTAGTTGGGGTCCATCGTAGCTCTCCCATTCATCCTTGACGCCGCCAATCTTGCCCTTGAAGACTGCGCTGTAATCGCGGATGCATGGTACTGTGCATCGTCCCTCACGGTCCCAGTTGAACTCGGTCCAGATAGGGTCGAAGGCAGCAGTCTCAAACATCTTGAACTCTTGATCGCGTCCGTCCTTCCAAGCCATACGACCAAGCACGCGTGGATGGAAGTTGACACCCATTCTGATGCCGCCGTAGAGCAAGTATGACGAGAGGGAGGAGTTCGCAGACAGTGACATGATGGCTGTGTTGTAGTCGCCAGGGTGGGGGTGTGCAGCCCATCGCTCTGCCCAAGAGTGCTCCTTTGGTAGTAGAAGCGGTCGCATGTCTCGGAGCATGAGAACATCCATGTCAAAGTAGGCGCCTCCATAGATATGCAACACGATGAAACGAACGGCATCGGAAACTGCGACTGGAAGGAAGGTCATCTGCTTTTGAGTGAGAACGAGCCACTGTTGACCAGTCTTGTCTTCGATGATGTTTTCGGCCACATCCTTCTCTCCCTTGGCGTTTACCGCTCCAGGTTTGCTGTAGTAGTCGAAGCCGTTCTTGTCCTCCTTGTCAGTAGCCAATGGAATGCGGCTGGGGAACTTCCAACCCTTGACAACAATGTCACCTCTGTCGACAAGGGGAATGAATCGAGCGAATAGGGCGTCCTTGTTGAGCATGTTTTCAACCGCGTTGGGGTTGTGATCGGTGTCGAGCCATAACCAGAGACGAGAGCAGGCCAGATTCTGGGTGTAGAGGTAGCTCTTGATGAATGCCTCGACTCTCCACGTAGCAGGTCCGGTCCAGTAGGTGTGAAACGGGATGATTGGACCTGGGCAAGTGCCGATGTTGGACCCGTTGGCAGCAATCGCGTCTTTTATAGGTGTATAGTTCTCGAGAGTCTTGCCGTGTCCGTCGGCGTCGATGAAGTCGGCCTTGCGGGGGTCTGAAGCACTGGCTCGGTCGGCGGGCTCTGGGAGGCTGTAGTAGCGGTCCTCGCCCTCAGCGAAGAACTTCAGACAGTCAAACGGCCTCCTCATCTTCTCAATCCCAGCATAAGTACCCCGGCACTCTTCAATCAGCATATCAATGTCGGCCTCGGTATCGACATGGGGGCGGGGACCCAAGTAATCGTCCTTGTTCTTTACAGCGGTGATAGGACGGTTGAAAACATTGGCGTGAGGGTTGATAGTAACGGTCTTGGTGGTGCCCGCAAACTTGACTTTGACTCCTGCCTTGGTCGTCTCGATCAATTCGGTAGGCCCAGCTTTGTCCAAGAAGGCAGGGATGCCAATCTTGCCCTTTGCGGCTACGGAAGGGTCGTTTATGAAGGTGATGACACCGTAGATGGCTGCGTAGAGCAATGCTGCCAGCACCAGATTCTTGCACAGTGTGAGAACTGCGCGGAGCTTGGATACTTCCGCCATATCGATAAGCTAACGGGCAACGACCCGAAGCAGAATTCCCAGAAATTACTCGACAACCGCCAGTTTCTCGTATGCGTATCTGCCTTGTAGAGGTTTGAGGTGTGTCGTGGATGCGTTGTATGAAAAAGCACGTGTCAGACTGGCGGTCGGGGCTCGTCGCGACAAGCGTTTCGGGGGGTTGCTATGTTGGAACCACGAGTTTGTTGTCGCACAACCCAATCTTCGCAAAAGGCTATATTAAGAGGAATTACCGGGCGAGGTGTGCAGGCGCATGCATTAGGTGGTACCGAGTGTGGTGCTGCGCGGCTGTGCGAGGCTGTGAAGCGGATCGTAGGCGCAGATAGGCGGGATAGGATAGGTTGAGGGAGAGCCTGTCGGGATTGGAGCACCACAAGGAGAATCGCACACAGCGCAGCACAGCGGTCAAGGACAGACAAGAATGAAAGACAAGTCGGCACCAGGGAGCGGAGGCGGCGTAGAAATGGAATCAGGCTTGCGGGTTGTGGACTGCACCAGACCAGCCCCAGTTCGGGGTTGGAAGCAGCTAAGCTAATTTCCCTGCAGGCCGCGCCACATACTGACCCGCGCACCACTTCCCCCCTGAGCACTACCGGACACTCGTTGATGGTTGACAGCTCTACTAACGTCTTTTGTTCTTTTCGCATTCGCTGGCACGTACTCGTATTTCGCGCACGCAAATTTCGAATTGCATGAGGTCGGAGCTCGTCGTCGATGCGCTTGGGTTGCGGCCGTCACCCCTTCCCCTAGGGCGGCTACTGCCTACCACCTACCGACTACCGCATCCGATTAGGGAAGCGACACACCCCAAGCGAACTGAGGTCTCTTCTCCTTCTTGCTTGCCTTGCCCGCCTTGCGCCTTGTGACTACACTGTGCCCACCATCGCTTGCATGCTCCACGTTAATGCTGCGATATTCCTGTCTAAAGGCTTCCACTGCCCTATCGTCACCCCAACTGTCGCGTCTTGCCTTTCGCACTGGTTCGTGCGCTCTTCTCACACGCCCTTACTCGGCTGTCACCGCTCCACCACCATGTGAACGGGTCGAGATCCCGTCTCGGTCAAACGGCTCCTTTACAGTTGAGTAAGTATGCCTCTCGTCTATTTCTTCACATGACGTTGTTGGTCGCTCCTTCTTGCGCTCTCGTCGTCGCATTCGCCCGGGTAAACAGCCCGCGATGCTGCGCGATGACCTCACGGTGCTCGACTCCTCCATAATCCAACACCATGCCCCACCCTAAGCGAGTATCTTGAGATCGTGACTTCTGGGTGTCATCTTGGCTTGTCGTGTACATACTAACAGAGCTCCTACAGCGTGTTCCGTGCGCCAAAATCTTCGGCTCCGATCCTACTCTACCTCCCTCCAGGGCCAGTAGTAAAGAAAAGCCTGGAAGATGAGGAGCGCGTGATAACAACGCTACAAGACTCAAGTGCTGCGACTGTTGTCCGCATCAATTACCGCGCATCATCCTTGAACCAGTATCCTACACCTTGTCATGATGTCTTGCTCGGTTATGACTGGGTCTGCGAGCATTTGCTTATCGATGAATTCTCGCGACCCTATCTAGCTCGTCTTGGTGTATGCGGAGAACTCGTAGGCGGCTCCTTGGCAACGATGCTGGCCCTGACAGAGTGCCGCCTTGGAGAGAGTCGGATTGGTGCCGCAGCTGTCAATAACCCAATCGTAGATTGGGTATTCCCAGACGAGCTTGCAGTCATCCAACCCGAAGATCTCCCAGAGCCTCAGTATGGCGATGAAACACAACTTCCTGCCGACGAAGACCTGGCTGGTTCGTTAGCGATTCGTGAAGCTGTAGAAAACCTGCAAACTGAACGCAAGCGACCCAAGAAACGTTCCCCAAAAACACCACCTCCGACGTCTTGGCAGGCTAACAGAGACAACACAATCATACCTGCTAGGACTCTGTCGGAGCAGCGTGACGTCCTCTTCAAGAAGCCACAAGACTATTTCGATCGATTCGCTTCACCCATCCACTTCTTTCGTTCTCCCCATGCCCAACTAACCTTTCCACCACAAGACGACATCTTCGCGTCGCTGCAACCCGATATACAACCCCTCGACCCCGAGATTCAGATGGCCCTCAACCACTATGCTACTTTTGAAGAAGCAGTCAAAGCCCCGCCAGCAATACCCACGTTGAGCAGATGTCGTGCTTACGCGCGGAACTACCCCCCAGGTGGTACCATGCCACTAAGCTTACCAGTGTGGAACATTACTACTGGCCTGCAGAGTCCGCTATCCGATACCACACACGAGCTGGCGAGGATGCTGCAACGCAGCATTGCGCGTCAAATTCTGAAATCGCATTCTGGCCGGTCGAGATGGCTTGATGCAGCAGAGAAGAGGCAATACGAAGATATCGCCAAGGGGCGAGTAGAGGTAGATTCGCACGAAGGTGTAGGTCTTTGGACTCAACCAGACGCGGATGTAGAACAGAACCCACAATTACAAGAGATAGGAATTTGGATGAAACAACGCTTGGAGCCAGGCTTCGTCTAAACAATGAAAGATTGTTGAATCTTGTCAAACTCCACGCCAGGTTGCCTCGCAATCTCCAATGCTTGAAAAAGTGGATTTGCATGCTCATTGTCATCCTGAATGTGGGGACAATACGCAACTACAGCGTTTCCCGAACAAACGAACAAAGCGATACAACATGCCGGATCTGGGCAAAAGAACCTATGTTTCAATGACGAACAGGTCAGAGTGTTAGCATAAAAAGCCTACACAACCGACATGAACTCTTCGATACAACATTAACGCTTACTGGAAGGCTTAACTAGCTGGACGATGCATACGTGCTGTTCTACGTGGTAGGGATCTTATGTCTAACACAGCAACGATGGCCACAACTTCAACAATCACAGCAATCGTCACAAGAGCAACAACATCCATGATGATCGGACGAAATCGCACACTCGGCCAGCGACCCGCCGTGACCCCCTATAGCTTCACTAAACCCAGCACATTCCCACTTCTCATCCTCTCCGTCTCTATTCTTATAGTTGACCATTTTACCCACCGCCGCCGCCTGAAGATCTCAGCGACACAACAGGAAGAGCAAGAACTAGCAGAAGCATGGCAAGAGCCCTGGTTAACAAAAGACTGGTCTACATTGTATGGGCTCATCGCCCTAGCTCATGAGCGTGAGATCGCACCCCAGCATACACCTTTCCGCACCGAGTATATCTCCACGATACAGGTAAGGTATAAGAGACCGCAGCGCTGGGCACTTAAGCTATTACTAGAGCGAGGCGTGATCCCGCTCCGCATCGACGATGGTGGAGTCGCAACCACCTGCACGCAAACCTGGGGCTTAACTTCTACGTTCCCTTACATAACCATCCCGCTATACCAGCAAACAAAAAGCAGAGCATATTTTGAGTTCCTCATTCCACGTCCCGAACGAGCGGAAGTGACGCGACTAATCAACATCCTCGGACAAAACAGAATGGGCTATGGCATCTCAACACAGACCTACAATTCTGTCACTCAAACATCCCAGACTTCAACCGCCAGCACTGAGCGGAATCGACCTAAATCTGGACCAAGCTTTCCTCTTTCTATTGGAGCACAGTCCATGTGTGAGGCTTTACTTCCTCTTTTGCCGGATGGTCATATATCACGAGCACGAGGTACACATGTCGATAGACTGGATAGTTATCTCAAACCCGGGCCGGAGACAGAAGCCAGGGAAGATGACTGGATGCAACCAGACGTACGCATGGCAAGGGCGCCGTTGTTGTGTCACAGCAGCTGGGCTATCGTGAGGCTTGAAGCACCGCATTGGGGGTATGTCGAACTGGACAATTTTGTGTTGGGGGCTGTAGAGGAGAGTAGAACAGGAGATAGATGGGTGAGGGCTGTGTGTGAAGGTCACGCTATGAAAGAGTTGGAGAGGTTTGGGCTGGATATCTGAGTGGACGATACTGACATCAAGAGAAGCTTATCGATTCACATAAGTGTGCAAGTAGAAAGTATGGAGAACATGAATAGTTAGAGATATATTCATCTGCACATCATTATCGGTTGTTGAAGACGGCGCAAAGTTTGTGTTACGTCGGTGATATTTGAGATTATGTTAAGACGTAAATGCCTACAAACGATGACGAAGCTCCAAAGAACGATCCTGTCACCAGTCTTTGGAGACGGTCAATCGCGCCGTTCCATTACGAATCGTGTAACCCAGAACTTACTGGTCATTTCCCCAAAGCAAACCTTTAGCTCGGGAAAGAGCCTAGTCTACCTATCTACAAATCAATCAAAGGCTCATCGGCAACCTTCTGCTGTTGAGCTGGCAACTGATTCTGCGGTGCAGATGGGAAACTCTCAGGCCCATACCCACCTGTCGCGTAAGGTGCTGCTTGCCACGCCGAAGACTGTGGAGCCTGCTGAGGCGCTTGTTGCTGCTGTTGCCAGTACTGTTGTTGTGGTGGCGGCGCTGACTGCTGTGGAGCCTGCTGTGGAGCCTGCTGTTGCTGTTGTTGCTGTGGGGGTGCTTGTTGTGGCGCCTGCTGAGGAGCTTGTGGCTGGTCTTGTCTGGGGTATGGTGGGTTCTGCCACGCAGTCGTAGGTTGTGCGGGTGGTGAAATGGGCGTTTGCTGCGGCGGAGCACGAGCATATGCCTGCGGAGAAGAAGGTTGCTGTTGCTGCGAAGGTTGAGAGCCGTAGCTTTGAGTACGTTGCATGGGGGGTTGAGAGGGTTGCGCAGCAGCGCTGTCACCATAGTAGAAGCTTGCGCTTTCCGCGTCGGAAGGTGGTGCTTGTGGTGGATATGCAGAAGACTGTTGTGGAGGATATTGCTGATTCGAAACTTGGCGCTGTAGTTGTGGCGAGGCTGGATTCGGATACGAAGTATTCGGTGGCGGTTGTGCAATGTTAGGGTATGGTTGCGATGGTTGTTGATATTGATCCTGAGGCGGAGCATACGACTGTGGACGCTTGTCGAAACTGGGGTATGGAGCTTGGTAGCCGCCACCGTATTGCGATTGGGGTTGTCCGTAAGCACTTGAAGGGGCCGCGTTTCCTGAGTAGTAGTTCTCCCCAGACCCATCTGGCGCTCCTGACTGCTGTATGCTGGGGTATAGGTTGGACGCCGGCCGTTGTGTGGAAGCAGGCAGACCATACATGGCGTTGGCCTGGTTGTATGTGCTCGACAGTCTTTCCTCGAGCATGCGATCGTAGTACCTGACAACTGTAGATAGCTTGGCGTGTAGGTCAAGTAGTGTGTCTGTTCTTGTTAGCGATGTTCAGACTACCAGGAGGACTTACGTACCATGCTTGCTCATAGTCTCGCCATAGGTGCGCGCAAGTTTCGGTCTCAGTTTCCCAATGCTCTCGTACAGCTCTTGTATTTGTGGCTCCCTGAGAATGGTGCCAGGGGCCTGGTGTTGTAACCGGTCCACCAGTGTAGAGAACAGATTGATATTCTCCGCTTCGACCGGAGTGAGCTCATAGTCGTTTTTGGGCGCAACAAAAGGTGCTGATCCGCTTGCGTTGGAGGCCTGTTCCCGGAAGGTCGTGGAGTATTTCTTCTTCTGTTCCTCCATGTCCGCCAAAGAAGCTGCAATAGCGGCAGCCAAGTCGGCATCTTCCTCCTCTTCAGGCTGCTTTTTTGTTGTTCCATTGGTCGGCTTGGACTGCTGCAATTGCGCCTGGGACACAAAGCCAGAAGAACTGTTGCCCTTGGCTTCATCCAAACTCATCTCCAGCGCTCGCTTCAAGTCTGCATCGAAGCTGTCCTCGACGCGCGCATTGCGCGGCTCCATTGAACCCTGGTACAGTGTCCGTTGTGGTCTGGGCGTATCGAAAACCCTTGAAAGCGGTGTTCCTCTCGATCTCTCGGTAAGCTTCGCATGACATCCATCGTCGACACGCACAGGGTCCATGATGCCGAGATGGGGTAACGGGATGCTTTTGCTCGAACACGCGCCACAGAAGACGTTTCCGCAATTGCGACAGTGGTGCTTTCGGTTGGTGAAGGTGAAGGGCGTGCGGCATCGCATGCAAACGTCGGAGTCGGTCCACTCTGGGGGCTGTACAAGTGTCAGTCGCTGAAGGTGCCTGAGACGTCTGGAGGGCACTTACCGCACTACTATCTAGCATGCTGCTGGAGATATTCTCCTTGGGCGGAAAGTGGTAGCCTTCCCGTTGCAGACTGTGGTAGACCTCGTTGATGTAGCTCAGGTTGTGGCGCCCTTCAGCAGCAGTCGCCCATGATTGTATAAGCTCGAGCATCTTGTTCTTGACATCATTATTGGGCGCGACGGTTGGAGGTGCCTTCAATAGGGACGTCAGGTTGTCGAGGAACTCCCGTGAGGCTATCTCTTGGATGAAGTGGGCGCCGCCGTTCTTAACGCACGTGTCGGTAAGCTATAGCTGATCAGCAGAAATCCAGGATGTTTTCAAAGATGCAGTCGTACATTCAGAGTGGCGAGTTGGACGTTGGGGTTCTTGTTCCCTATCCTCTTCTTCAATGCGCGCATGGCATCTCTAGGCTGCACTGTCTTGGACCGAATAACGTCGGATATCTCGAGATTGAGGGGCATGTCCTCTCTGGTACATATCAGCATGTATATAGAAGCCGTGTATATCTTGAGGAAGCTCGTACAAGCTCGAAGATGTGGCGCGCTCGATCTGCTCGTCGAGCGCGCTCGTGGTCGAGGACCCGAACCAGCCCGCCATGGTGTTGAGGCACGCCCAGTTGGGGGATGGTTTGCAGATTATCAAAGGTGTAGAAGTGTATCCGGATGCTGACTTGAATCTTGGAATAGCGCAGCGATTCGGGTGAGATATAGCGCGCAGTGATAGTAGTAGTGAAGGTTAGGTAGCAAGCTGTCCGAGGTCAGGGTCTTGGCGATGACGCCGGACGGCGGCCATAAGCCGCATCGACCGACACATGCTCCAACCCTGCCTACAGCGGGAGAGCCATACACGCCCGACACTTTCACTCCAGGCACCCAACTCCTCCCGGAAATTGCTATTGTAGCCGCTATAGAATCACTGCCCGACTACACAACGCTGTGCCCAATCACCTGACACCCGATTCGCCCCGCATCCCCGATCAACACTGCCTCTCTACGCACACGTATTCAATTACGGTCACGACCATATCCTGGTGCGCCTTGCTTGGAACCTCTTGAACATGCACGCCTGCCCACCGTCTAAAGTGCGTTTATGAGTGCGGCTGCTCCTCGGCCGCCCTCAGGACCTCTGCCCGCCAACACCACCATGAACGGCTACACCAATGGCTCCCACGGCGCCGGCGCAGACGGATGGAGGAGCGGCGATGGCGCTGGTGACTCCAGAGGCGCTGTAGGCCCATTCCCACCCATCGCCGAAATCATAGCCTCTGCAACAGATACGGCCGAGTCGCTGAGACACCACTCGGTACACATCCAAGACACGCCCCGTATGCGACAGCCGCTGACAAGACATAGATCAAACTCCTTCTGGATAGGGCCAGAGGACATTTCAACTCGGCCAAGACGATGCTCAACAACCGCTCACCCGCTGGCGCTTACTGGGAATACATCGTCGCATACCAAATCGTCGCCGAACTGATACCTACCCACCGTGACTATTACGACAAGATCAACGGTAGTCGCAGCCAGATCCACCGCGATTTCAACGACCTCATGAAGGAGATCAAGGCGAGCGAAGAGCGATTTGTGCGCATCAAGGACATTATTAAGAACGATAACAAGAGAAACGGCGCCCATCATAGGACTTCCTCTGTACCACCCGCTACGACACCAAGCAACCGAAATGGAATGAGTGCATCGCGGAAAGACGACGAGCTGATGCTTCCTGAGGTTCCTACGGAACTTCCGAATGGCCGAGCTTCACCTGCGGCTTCTCTGGATTCTGCAAGAAGAAAGCCGGTCGTGCAACCGAAGCCACAATCGCTGCATGGCCGGGCTGTGCACCAGAGTTTGTCGTCGGTGAACGGAGTCAATGACCTCGCCCAACGATTTGCAAACTTGAGAGGCTCTGGTCCAACGGTCGACACATCGTCCGCCCGCTCCAGCCAGGACTTTTCTGTCAAAATGCCGTCACCTGCAGACTACAATTCCACAAATCGAATCATGGGTCCCCGGGGCATGCCTCCACCACCTCTCTCGATGCCCCCACCGCCACCAAAACTACCTTTAGATACACAATTTGCAGCCTCCCTACCAAAGGAGCCCAGTCCTACCTATAGTCCAGCGCGGAATATCTCAGGCCCCTCAAGCATCAACGCACCTCGGAGTACGCCTAGAAGTTTGAATGGGACTGGAGGACGTACAAACTCACTTGCTTCATCCAGCGCATCGATTTATGCGCCCAATGTCAACGGTGCACCGAACTCGTATTTTCCGGCTCAGCAAAATCTTCGCGATGCGAATGGTAGAACAAGATCTGTCAGTAAGACGGTGGAACTTGAGATCGACGCCAGCATGCTTTACGACTATTACCGTATGTACAATGTACTCACCATCGACGTGCGGGACAGGACAGACTACGACGCCGGACATGTTTTTGTGCGCAACATCATGTGCATAGAGCCACTAACACTGCGTGATGGCGACTCAGCCGAACAGCTTCAAGATCGTCTGATCATATCACCAGACGATGAACAGGACATGTTCGATAGGCGAGCCGACTTCGACGTAGTCGTGTATTATGACGAGTCAACTAAGAACATTGACTTCATGCATAGGCACAATCGATCAGATAGCGAAGTTGCTTTGAAGCGGTTATTTGACACCTTGCACGAGTTCAACGCCGACAAACCACTCAAGCGTCCCCCAGTCCTCCTCAAAGGTGGACTTGATGCTTGGGTAGATCTGGTGGGCCCACAGGCTTTGAAGATGTCCTCTACTGCTGCAGCAATGGCGGCTGGTCCAACCAGAACTCGGGCTATCCGACGATCACCCGCCGCTAGCCACATTGCGAGAAACAATACGCAGAGAAGATCAAGACGCGAATATGTTCCCATGGATCAGGAAGAACAACAACAATGGCTGGAGGAAGCTCGAAAAGGACGTGCTGCTGTTCAAGTACCTCCAGCAGAAGGCGAGAAAGAAGAGGAGCCTACGTCGCCATTCTATCGCTCAACAGAAGAGTTTCTGCGTCGATATCCCGATGTCGAAGCCGAACAGTCGTCTATGATGTACCCTTCCAAATTCCAATCGACCAATCAATACGTCGCACCTGCCATACCTGTTGCACCTTCGCGGCCACCGCCGTCTGTGCCTCGGGTCAGCTATAGTGGCGTGCACGAGCGACAGCAACAAACTCGAGATGTTGTTTACAATGGGCAGCCTCAATTTAGTAACTTGAGATTGCACCGGACTGGATTACTGAACTTTGGCGTCACATGCTACATGAACTCTGTAGTGCAGTGCCTTAGTGGGCATCTATTGCTTTCAGACCTGTTTCTCACCGGACGATATCAGCGTGATCTGCAGCGAGACAATTGGAAAGGAACCAAGGGTATCCTACCAGAGGCGTACGCAACCCTGCTGTCAAATCTGTACAAAGGCGATGTCGGATCCGTCCGCCCCAGCACGTTCAGAGTAAGTTTCTAAAAACAGAGGCAGAGAATAAGCATGACTAATGTTGAGTAGCGTATATGTGGTCATTTCAATTCACAATGGGGAATCGACGAGCAGCAAGACGCCAAAGAGTTTCTCGAATTTGTTCTAGATTACATGCACGAGGACTTGAATTTAACGTGGAACAAACCACCACTCAAACCGCTCTCGGATGCGGAAGAGTTGACGCGAGAGAGATTCCCCCGTCAGTACTCAGCCATGATTGAGTGGCGAAGGTATCAACATAGAGACATGTCTGTCATTGGCGGTCTATTCGCCGGTCAACACGCTTCACAACTAACATGCCAGACATGCGGCGTGACGAGCACAACATACGAAGCCTTCTGGAGCATCAGCGTAGAAATTCCCCGCGACGGTGAATGCGATTTACGCCAATGCTTAAACTCATATTGTGCGCCGGAGCGACTAGCAGGAGATGAGCTATGGCGTTGCCCTCGCTGCAAGAAGGATCGCGAGGCTGTGAAGAAGATCACTATCACCCGCGCGCCTGACACGCTCGTCATTCACTTTAAACGCTTCAGTGCTTCTCGCACTGAAAGTGCCCGGAAGGTCCGGACGCCTGTTAATTTCCCCCTCCAACGTTTAGATATGGGACCCTATGTCGAACCACCCATGAGCCTCGAACAAGAGCGCTACGTGTCGGAGAAAGCCCGAGATGGGCCTGCGCAGCTTGCGGGTGTCAAGAGTGACCCCACTATGAACGGACCTTATGTGTATAATGCCTACGCTGTGATCTGGCATATTGGCGCTACGCTTGGAAGCGGGCATTACATCGCGTTCGTCAAGGATAAATCGAGAGGGTGCTGGAGGTCGTTCAACGACGACAAAATCACAGATTTCGATCCGGGGAATCTCCCGCCACACAATCGTTTGCAGAACGAGAAGGCTTATATTGTTTTCTACGAACGCGAAAGGGTCGCCGGCGGCGCGTTCTAGGAGGACATACTCCTTGGCATGTCCGAGATTCTAAGTGGAAAGGCGCGTTTGAGTTTTGAGTAGCGACAAGTCATTTGGATTCACGATGGTCTCTCTGTTCATACTTTGTTGAGGCTTACGACATTACATGCTCTGGGTAAGAGTATTGCATACCTGGCGTTGAGATATATACCACTTGAATATTATTCCTGAACACATCTCATTTGCGTCATACACCAAAACTGGGCCCGGCTAGATGCGGTTCATCAAATTTACTATTCGGGTGAGTCAAACCAGACGTTGTGAAGTTTAGATGCCTCGTTATGGTGAGTTTGACTCAGACCGATGATCGGCCCGCAGGGATGCTGAGCACCGAACTTTTTTTGAGCGATAAGATAAGCAAGTGACTCTCCGCACGTACGTCGTTCCCCAGACGCCGCAACCCCTCTTCTATTTATTCTTCCTACTCACTTGTTCTCGTCTACCTTCACTTTCTATACCTCCAAACTTGCAAATATGTCAAAGGGACGCGTCTGCCTTGCCTACTCTGGTGAGTTTTACTTACAATTGGTGATTGCACGACCAATTGCTCTCGTCACGTCCGAGCAAGCAAAACTAACCTGAGTCATTAGGCGGCCTCGATACCTCCACGATCCTGAAATGGCTCATCGGTACGCCAGAACAGTGTTCAGAGACGCAACACAAGCTAACACGCAGACAAAGAGGAGGGCTATGAAGTCGTGTGCTTCCTCGCCAATGTTGGCCAGGAAGAGCCCTGGGACGAGGTCGAGAAGAAGGCGCTCAAGATTGGTGCGAAGAAGATGGTCATTCTCGACCTACAGAAGGAATTCGTTGAGGAGCTCTGCTTCCGCGCTGTTCAATGCAATGCCTCATACGAAGGCCGCTACCTCCTCGGGACCTCGCTGGCCCGCCCAGTCATCGCCCGCGCACAAATCCGCGTTGCGCAACAAGAAGGCTGCGGGTTCGTCTCGCACGGCTGCACAGGCAAGGGCAACGACCAAGTCCGCTTCGAGCTGGCTTTCTACACACTCCAGCCTACCATCAAGGTCATTGCGCCATGGAGGTTGCCCGAATTCTGCGACCGCTTCAAGGGCAGGCAAGATCTCCTCGACTATGCTGAGAAGCATGGTATTCCCGTCACTTCTACCAAGGCGAAGCCCTGGTCTATGGATGCCAACTTGGCTCACTGCAGCTACGAAGCTGGTATGGCGAAACACCCAGATATCGCATTAGTGTGACTAACAAGTCAGGTATCCTCGAGGACCCCGACGTGTCTCCTCCCGACGACATGTGGACTATGACCGACTCCCCTCTCAACGCTCCCAACGAGCCCACCGACATCACCGTCTACTTCGAGAAGGGTATCCCCGTCAAGGTCGTCACCCCAGAAAAGACCTACACCGACTCTGTCGAGCTCTTTGTTGCGCTCAACAAGCTTGGTTTCACTCACGGCATCGGTCGCATCGACATTGTCGAGAACCGTTTCATCGGTCTCAAGTCCCGCGGCTGCTACGACTCTCCCGCCATGACCATCCTCCGCCTCGCCCATCTTGATCTCGAGGGTCTCGTTATGGATGCACAGGTGCGCAACCTGCGCGACCAGTTCGTCTCGCACAACTGGAGCTACCAGCTCTACAACGGCATGTACTTCTCTCCTGAACGCGAGTTCATCGAGAACAGTCTGTTGTTCTCCCAGCGCAGGGTCAACGGCGAGGTCAGGATGAAGTTGTACAAGGGCAATGAGTACGTCTTGGGCAGGTCCAGCCAGACTGAGAAGCTGTACTCTGAGGAGGAGGCGTCCATGGACACTTTGGACAACTTCAGCCCAATGGACACTACTGGCTTCATTGCCATCCAGAGCATCCGGTTAGTTCACGTTCCTTCCAAACGTGAAGCTTTTGCTAACGATTTCATAGTCTCAAGAAGTACGGTCTCCAGAAGGCTGAGGAGGGCGAGAACATGTCGAGGGCTTAGAAGGCGACCGATGATATGCGTACCACGTTGACATACTGGAGGAGGTGGCTTCACCGTGAGACAGTCCATGACCAGATAACTTGGGCGTCTCCTCAGGGCTAGATATTGACATGGCCATGTCTAGGGAAGTCCTGAAGTTGAAAAACGACGATAAGATGACATAGATACCAATAATAAAACCATATTGAAGTATTGGACAAGTTCACTCGCATAAGTGATGGGAGCGTAAGAGACTTTCAGCCATCTTCATTGGCCGATTAGCGGTCCCTTTGCGTGTGGGTCGACGCTACCCACGGGAGGCGGTTGCTCCCACCCCGAACCGTTCCGAAGTCGGCATCGCTACCGCGAACATCTAACTTTGCGTTTCCTACGCACTTTTTCTTCTGTCTTGTCGCGCACACAATCGCTGGAAAGATACATTTAGGTATGAAACACAGTGAAATTTAGAATGAGTAAGGCTCTCGCTAGTAAGTCAGTTGGAAGTGAGTATATATATTGACAGCATGACATATCCTCTTGTCGACGACTAGATGGAAAGAAAGTAAGGGCACGTCGTTGTTGCGCGCGTTTGTTCGTTCGCACGCTACTAACTATTCTTCCTTTGTATCCTCGGTAACAAGATCTTCGATAAAAAATTCCTCCCCTTCTTTCGCCGCTTCATTCTGTCCGCTTGTCGTTTCCACCTGCGGTTGTTGCAGATGATTTTGTTGTCCGATATCAGGACTGGCGGGATTTTCGTACGGAACCGACAACGATGGCACCCTTGACAACAATGACAACGATGACAATGAGGGGACATGGTTCAACATGATGTTATGGCCGACAATGTTGTTGAAATGAGCGGGCGACGCATGGGAGGACTGGTACCATGAAGGGCGTTGTGGAGCTGGTCCGTGCTGTTGCGGGCGGCGGTTGGCGTAAGGAGACATATCTGGGTGTCGTCTCTGCTGCTGTTGCAGAGGGTCACTAGGGAAGGATGGAGCATATGAGGGTAGCGGCTGCTGTTGTTGCAGAGGAATATGGGGGAAGGGTGGCGCATACGGTGGTAATGCCTGCTGCTGTTGCAGAGAGACATTGGGGAAGGTTGGCGTATACGAAGGTAGTGCCTGCTGTTGTGGAGGGTCGTAGATGTAGTTTGGCATATACCAGGATTGCTGCTGTGCCAGAGGGAAGCCGTTGGCGTGGATTGGCATAGACCAGGGTCGCTGCTGTTGCGAAGGGTAGCTGTCAACGTAGCCTGAAGCATACGATTGGGCATATGTTGGTGGCTGCTGGTTGTGACTTCCTTCCTGATGGAGGTCGATGCCCTGAGCTTGGAATTGAGGTTGCGACTGTTGTTCCTGGATTTGAGGCAGGAGGTCGTTGAAGCCAATGTCCACACCACCCTCCTCAGTGTTGTTAAACGCATGGGCAGCATTCATCGAAATGGTCATGTCATCGTTCTGCAGAACTTCGTTTGCGGATGACAGGATAGCTGGGTCAATGGTTCCATCGTAGCTACCTGGGAAGGAGGCAGGAGCATGATCCGAAGAGAAGATTGTGTCCGGCGTTGTTACAGCGCTTTCGTAACCAGTTTGCAGTGGAGCAGGATGTGGGAAGAATTGTGGATCCATCATGACCGTGTTATTCATCCAACCGAAGTCTGCGCCGTTGTAATTCCCATCCATATTGAGATTGAACATACTGGGGGGCTCACTCAAGAACCCCCCTTGTTCACGCCTCAAGGATTCCTGGAACATTCTTTCATACTCAGGATGCCAAATGGTAGGAACTCCGAAGCCAACAACATTTTGGCTTGGTGGTAGTGGTGGTTGAGAGCTCATCATTCCTGATGAGGACACAGCAGGCCCCATTCCGCCCATTTGATACAGATTTGAGATACGATCTCGAGCTTCCTGCTCATTGTGGCTTCCGTAAGGGATCACTAAGCGAGGAAAATATGGTGCACCAGATGCTTCTTGGTTGATTGCTGGACTGGGACCAGCGGCAAGACCTTGAGGCCTCGAAACTGGACCATGTCCAAGAGTATGATATTGGTCCAGGACCATTGTGCCGCCTGGGTTTCTCCTGGGCTTTTCAGAAGCAGGCATTAGCTTTCTGTATGATGTTTTTGGCTTTGGAATCTCGTCATCTTCCTGGCATTTCCGTTTGCGCGTGGCGGTCGGGCCGTTGGGTTCATTTTTCTTTGGAGGCATTGTGATTTGGCTAAAAGGCAACTGAAGGTTTGGGGAATCAGATAAAATCATATCGCATTTATGAATCGCTTTATACTAATACTTATCTGATCCTAAAAGTTAAGCTCGATGGTGGAACTTGGTTGAGATCGTAAAACTGAGCATTTTCATTGGTCACTTCCCAGATAGGCTCTAAACGTCTTCTATCCGTGGATTGACGCCGTTCATACCATAGGAATACAAAGCTTAGCGCTCATCAGATATCGTTATCAGACGGATCAGTCACATCCTTCCAGGGTAGCTGCTCGTACACACGGGCTTTACTCCATCAAAATCACGATCCGAACCAATGACTGCCCCCGTAAACTTGATAGAACGTGACTTTTACGTTCTACCTCTGGAACTCAGTATTTTCCATCGAGATTTCCAAGCACAGCATATTCTGGGTCATTTTCTATCCTAGTCTGAGCTCGAAATGGCTGTCTCGTGATCCTCGCTTGCCTAAGCCATCCATTTCAGCATCAAGCAGGCCTTTTCCCACCTTCATATACCGTGGTAAAAGCATTTCCACCAGTAACAACGGAAACTCCTCATTCAACGCCGCTCGCTTCTCTTGCTAGTCTCTTCCGACTTGCTCATATGGATCTCACCTGCCCTGGTTCTCTCGTGCGCTGCCCTCATCAACGCACTCGTTCCAACGTCATCCCCATCGTGAGCCCAAAACGTAAGGTGAAAGCGCAAAGCGGAGGGTGATGTTATCCTTAGATTGTTCAACTGAGAGCTGAATGGGTCCAGTTCTTGAAGTAGTATTCGAGTTCTACAAGGAAACGCGACAAACGATTTCCGCACACGAGCTATGGCAATTCTTCCACATTGGTAAGACACAGGCCCCAGTCAACCCATACAAATCGGGTGTTGAGACTCAGCGAGCTTAATCACGTGCAAGGTTCGGTGGTGGGCTGTCAGCGTTGAGACTTCTTTCAAGAGCGTGTGTTGGCGGGCTCATCACTCCCGTACATAGTAGCATAGCTAGATAGATGACAATATAGCGCACACAATCCAGGCTCGTCATTATCACCATTCCATTCAATATCTGTATGCACTGAAACCACATATCTTACATTTCCATCCATATATGGAAGACGCACTTATTACTGTATGCGTCGTGTCAAAGTCCTAGACGCCTCGGTCGCGCAAGTGATCATCTCGCTCAAGCATAACTTCCTCCAAACAAACTAACACTTCGCCCCATCCTCCAAGCACCCCAAAGCACCATACCTAGAATGGCCAAATTAGCGAATTGCCTGCAGATGACAAGCAAGAAAGTCGTAGCCAGAACAGCATTGTTTGACCATCCCGAGGTGTCAACGTAAAGAAGTATGATATCGTAGATAATGAAGATGTCGCGAAGCCAAATAAGCGGCACAACGACGAAAGCGAAACGAGCGAGGTCGTGGCGTTCGGGCGACTGCAGGATGTTAGCACTAGTACCAGGTGATGCACTGCGAAGCGATAGACTTACACCATGAGCATTCTTATTCGTTGTCCCATACTCCCTCAATACCTCAGCCGAGACGCTCAAGCTAGCTGCCACAACAATAGCCTCGTGTACGATATATGTGATTCTTGTCGCACGGTCATGGCTCATAACATTTGACCAAGACAACAGTGCATCTGGGCCGGAGCTACCAGTGCTGATATCCCTTGCTTCCATACCCAAGCCCCAAGCTGCAACACCGGTACCCAGCATGGCAAGCATGATGAAAGTATTCCAGATACGCGACATGGTCTTTGGTGTGGAAATACCGGTGCCGTTTTCCTGAACATGACTGGAGTGAATCCAGACTCCGCCATTGAGCAGCACAGTGAAGAATATTGTGGCAAGTGTTGTAGTGAAGGTAAGAGCCGAGATACTGGAAGAGTATTCACTCCCTATGAGAGTATAGGCTCGACGGCCATTCCAACCGAGGTCGCTAGTGTAATCGATCGTTCCGCTCGTCTTGAGGAGATCGGATACGAAGCGACATACATAGGCGACGAAGAGACAGAGAAGTGCTGGCCAGAGAAAGAGGTATGTTCCCAAAGTCGTCTTTAATGGACCATCACGAGCACTGTTTTCTTTGCCTGGCGCAGTAAAGCGTCGTTGTTTGATTCGCTTGAACGTAGGTCTGGATGCTAGACCAAGGAGAATCAGGGCTCCAGCTGCTGTGATGACATCGAGGGAGAAGACGGCTTGATATGATGGTCGTTCGTTTGTGATGTTGATATCGGACATTGCACGTTGGGATGATCAGGCTTGATCTACAGTGAGTGATGAGGGACATTCCCATCATTTGACTATATGCGAGATTGATGAAAATGCATCTCTGATGCATATGACGTTGATCGCTGTCACCCGCTTGGCAAGGCGATGATGGTGGATCGGTTCGGATATGGATGCCGATGATGGTGGTATTCGGAAAGGACGGCAGGTATAGCGAGCTACTCAGCCTCTGGTGAGGATGCTTGGTGTCCCATAGTCTATGTTTCCATCGCATGGTCAAAGAACAACGATGGCCGCTTGCATGGGTAAAAACTAAGATGGTGAGCAGAAGTAACGATGATGATGCAGAAGCTGCTGCCGAACTTGTGGAGGTTGGGTTAGTCGGCGGGAAGAGTGCAGGCGCTAAGACGTCGCATAGCCACCTCGGATCTGGCAGTTTGGTGGCGACTCCGTCCCATCTCATTGTCTGTCTCACGAACTTTCTTTTACGTTCTTCTCTTATCGCAAACAATATTTACGAAAATGAAGAGCATCTGGAAGATTTCATGGCTTACAGTTTTACGCGCGCGGTTTGGATCTGTCGATCTTCACGACGCGTCAAGTCACGCGTCTCTAGCTGCAGAGCTATTAAGTACGCTGCTGTACGTTCCGAAATCATTAGCACAAGTCATTCAATCTTCGTCCCGCTTTGCGTAGCTTACGAGACGAGATATAGCAGGAAAGAAGTATACGGAAGTGCGCGAGAGGAGCTGATGAACTGTAGCCACCCGTCACACACGGATTCTCTGTATAACTGGCCAGATCAAGCTCCGCCATGTCTCCAAGCCGGTCGGGCGACTCGAGACAGTTCGTTTGTGATCGGCAGTGCAAACGTACAACGTGGACGCAAACTCGTTTCGATCAAGATCATCAAACAAGTCGAAGGTTAGAACAGTATAAGTATACTAACAATCTATGTATAGACCCATCTAGCCTCGATCTCACCTTCTCGCTTGTTAATCCGGCCGGAGTATTATTGAAATAAGCGTCACATCTATCCGAATGTACGAAGATTGTTTATCGGGCCCGATTACTGACTGCAAACTCTATGTACGGTCTGAGTAAAGATACTGAAGCCTGGAGTCGAGGCTGGAATTTCTTTACCTAAATGAGACCATGTGGTTCGGGTACTGCAGATTTTTGTCTATCCAATTTCACTGTTGACTTTGAGTCTGAAATTATGTCTAGCACACCCTATGCAGTGGCACTGGTCACGTTGATCGTTGACATACAATTCACCCTCTACGACTGTTGCACGGGCACTGGTCGACCCTTCCTTCTCTTGATCGTTGGACAATGCGCCTCAGTTATCCCCTGATTACCCTTACAGACCTTATATACATACACGAACGCACCAAACTCCAACTTTCAATATTCTCTCTACTTGACTGCTACACAACTGACCACCAGTACTCATTGCTGCCAGCAGAATTCAAGACCTTCGTACCCGTCCTGCAGGCTTTGTGCGAGTCATCAAAATTCTGACAACCCGTCATACACAGCTACGTATCATAGCATGTCAGACCGAACGCGCCTGAAGCATGGCACCAACCACATCCAGAAGTATCTGGTGAAAGCATCGATCGAGTCGACTGGACGCTTGTCTTCGATAAAGAAGTGTTGTACGGACTCAGACACTCCAACCGACCATATGAAGATCTCCGTCTTCTTGAGATGCGGAGAGATCATCGCCAACGATCTTCCTCAAGTTGCCCTCATCTCGAACAGCGTCCTCCACCATCTCAGGGATGTCATATTGTTGAGGGACACCAAGATCGCACTCAGGGCACCCCTGGCTGAATCCGATCCGAAGATCAAGGAGAACCGCAGCAGGCACGTTGCATTCAATGCTGTCCTTAAAGACGTTCTCCGCATGTTGACAGTCGCTCTTCGCCGACTTTCCCAGCGGCAAAACGAATCAACCGTTTCTCCTGTGTCGATTAAGTACGACTCAAATTCATTCCGTCATCTATATATCGAAGAGATTGACGACGCGGTACGCGAAGCGCAGAACAATAGCGGGATTTTCTCCGAATTGGATCCTGCAGTACACGATCTAGACATAAAAGAGGATGATATCGACCAACAAGACATTGAGACTTTTCTGGGCCACAATGTCTTGCTCCTTGGGATACAACAAGATGCTCTCGACATATGGGAAAAATGCCATGCGAGTGAGTTGTCGCCCGCTGCTAGCGGAGTCATCACTGGTTTCGTATACCAGTTAGTTCGGGCAGAAGTATCGAAAATCGAAGTTACTGAGCAGGTTCCACTCGTCCGTCTTCCTGGCTGTCCTGATACTGGTATCATTGGTCTTCTCTACCTTCTATACGAGAACTTCCACGGCCAGGCGCTGAGGAAGGGCGGCAACACAGTTCGACAAGCGTCAGCCCGAGATATTGCTGGGACTCTCTTCATGCCAACTTTGGAGAGTTACCTCACTATGTGGACTCTCAAAAACAACGCTGTGAGAATATACATGTCAACGACAACTGACATGCCTCCACTTCCGACACCTGACCCATCCACTAAACTGCGAACGGTTGAACAAATCGAGGCCTCAAACAACATTCAACGATATGAATGGCAGGCGTCAGGTGGCTTGTTTTTGGTGAAATTTTGTAAGACCATGGGTATCATGGAACGCATCGAAGGCAGACAATGCTATAGCGTAACGGATGCGCTGACACGTTCCCTGCCCAAGACCTTGCAAACCGATAAGCCTGAGTTTTGGGAGGTGGTGTCTCTCGACTTACTGCTTCGAGTTATACTGAAATTGAACGAGAATAACGATTTCTTCCGCCAGGGTCAAGCGCTGCTTGATGTCGCCGACCACGTTGAATTGCAGAAGAAACAGTGGTTTGCTGGGAAACTCTATATACCCCTGCAGATATGCGTTGCCACCGACATCATCGACACCGTCGTGAGGAAAGACTCTCTCACAGAGATAGGCAAGGAGTATAACCACAAACCTCCACCACAGCTGATGCTCCACTATAACCCTACATTGAACGGATTTACAAGTCAAGCTATCTTGCTGGAGCTTGGCGATGCTGTAGGTGTGGCTGAAGTAGGCGAGCCAGCAGCATTAAGTGTAGCAATATTCTATAAGGCAATCACATCTCTTGGATACTTGAAGAATTCTTGGGCCTAGATGGACTTTCTGATCTCGTTCTTTGGCTTGGAAGCAATTCTTGGCCAGCACACTCTACCAACGAGCTATCACGATTTCTATAAACAGGCAAGGCTGATGCTATTATCAGGTAGAGCTATAGAATTCCTGCAGCTGATAAGCTTCCAGAACTTCCTGCAAAGGTGGATCTCTGACTGCTCGACCGACAATTTCAAGGAGATGGTGAGCTTTCTCGTTGTGCATCTGAGGAAAGAAAAGAGTGCTTGGAGTGTTGTGGCTACTAGACCTGAGACTAAATCAGAATTTGGGATGACTTCTGAATCGATGGCCAAGTTTAGACCAGCTATAAATTTGGAAGAAGCAGGCGACGCAAACACGGGAGACTTTCGAATTCCTTTGCAGCCGAATGCTCCACAAACAGATTCGCAGTCAGAACGGGATTCGCCGCCGATCATACCGACTTCGAACCGGCCCACCCATGCCTCTGAAAAACAGGACGAACAAAGGCAACAAGCTGAGAGAGATCAGCAAACCGACGAGTCGCTCAGCCATGACGAGTTTGGGCCTCGTGAAATTCTTCAAGCATTCGCGCAGCTTATGCAAGCCCAAGACGCGGTGGCACATCTTGCTAAGGGTACGTTCTGGCCAGAATGTACACAGCTTGCGTCTTACATAAAGGATGTGTACGTTAGCCTCACGGGAGATCAGCCGCATGTAAGTTCGACGAAGGACTTCAAGTACATACCCCTGCTTCTTGAGTTTCTTCACCGAAATGATGAGAAGCGCGAAGATGTGGTACGAAGCGGTGTGCTAGAGGCACTCAGTCAACACACCAAGAAGAATGGTGGAAAGCACCTCCAAAGAGTGAAGGACATCAGCGGCGTGAATCGGAAGGGAAACTTATGATGTCAACCAGCTATTTGCTTTTTTGTTTTCTAGTTACTTTCTGCTTCGACCATACTTTAGCTCCGCTTCTTGGCTGTTGGATTAGTATAGTGTAGTATTAACACTTTTTACTGCGACTTGATGGTTTATCAGACTCCCTATACGTGACAGCCAGATCGTAGTTATACTAGAAACTCCTAAAGTCACCTACCTGAAAGCGCCCCAAGATTCCGAAGCGTTACCTAGCGATAGGTGAAACAACTAGATCTAGTCACTAAAGGATTAAATCAACTGAGAAACATCAATCTAAGGAGTCGATATTGATGGGTTCGCACATCTCGCAAATTACGTCATGCTACCCGCTAGCCCCGTGCTAGCCCAGGAGTGGATGAGCTCAGGAGTGTGAAGTCAGGCAATACACATCGTGTTATGCAAGACTCGATCCATATATACGCAACCAAGACCACCTCAACAGAATTTCCTGCCATTCATACTACACCATTCTGCTTGATCGGAGACATAGCTGGAGCTTGCTGCATTCGATCTGTTTGGATAATATATGAGCCGTGCACAGGCCCACAGCGTCTCCGACCACAGGGTAAATCACTCGATTTCTCATTTCCACGCATGGGGGTTTGGCGGCGACTCCACTCCGTCCCATCATGCGGCCATGGCAACGCAACAAGTTCAGTCGACCGGAGCCTTTGAACCAGGCACGTACAACGGTTCTTTGGTCGCAACGATGTAGCGTTCTGCCATTCCGGGCCGTCAGCCTCTTTTTCGACGCCCCTTGATTTACGATCAAATATTCCATCCTATTCTCGTAACGGTGATGCGTTACTTGGTTCCTTCGACTTGCGATGTTGACCGCTCTTACTGCGCCGCATAGGTGCGTCCCCCTCAGATAACTATGGAGAACTTGCCAGATACGGTACAGCTTGATTTCCCATTCCGAAGGATTAAGTCGAGATTTGCAAATCATGCGAATCACAGTCAACTCGTTTTCTCTTGCCGCAGCTGCTCTTGCGTTGGTTGTTACTGCCAGTCGATTCGGTCCCTCCGTTGAAAATTGGCCAGACGTCAACAGAGACCGATGTTATGTTGGAGAATGACCAGATTCCGGCTGAGGGTATGCAAAGCAGTGACCCGTGTGCGGAGATTTTGCATGAGGAGGAAGCATCGATGGCCAATGCTACGAAACCAACTGGATGGACGCCCCACAATTCTTCAGCGGCCACGCAGTCCTTTCCTGATCTGTAAGGTTCATACATGGCCAAGCTCGCATCCCATACTTCGAGATCCACTATAAGACAGGCACGAGAGTTAGATTGCGCAGGGAAGGCCATCTCAACCGAAGCGACGGAGATATCTATCTAACATTCTGTATAACCAAGATTCTTTCCAGAATCAGGCCTGGACCTTCTTCTTGATTACACCATGAGCAGAATTCTTATCACAGGTGCAACCGGGTACGTTGGCGGTACTGTACTTTCTCAACTTATAGCCAGTACTGCCCCAAGCATCAAGGATCTCACCTTCGATCTCCTCATTCGCGACGAAGCGCAGGCTGTGAAACTCAGAAACGCGTACGGTTCTCGCGTTAATACCATCAGATGGTCTGGCCTTGAGGACACGGCTTTCATTGAAGACACAGCCTCGAATTATGATATTGTCATAAATACTGGCTCTGGTTTCATTCCTGAAGGTGCCATTGCCTTTGTAAATGGTCTCGCACGCGGTATCAATACCGATAAACCCGCACCGTGGATGTTGCACATATCCGGTTGTACAAACTTATCCGATCGTCCTTTGACGCAACCCCCAAGACCGATACGCGAGTGGAATGATGAAACAGACCGTGGAAGGATCCTCGACTTCATGGGAGCGCTCGATGAGATGGAGCCATACGCGCAGCGCACAACCGAAGTCGGTGTCTTGAATACGGCTGCTGAAACTGGTGTACAGGCTATCAGTGTCAATACACCTTGCATCTTTGGCGAAGGCACTGGCCTGTTCAACCGCCAAGGTCTAGTCATTCCTTTGATCATGATGTACGTTGTACAGCATGGCTACGGCTGGAAGCTCAACGAAACTGCGAATTTCGATTGGGTCCACGTCATCGATCTCGCCGATATATATGTTCTTCTCGTACGCACCATCCTTGAACGCGATGACCGCGGCGTCGGTTATCTTCCATCTGGCAGGAATGGCATCATGTTCTCAGCAGTGGGCCGTACCCTCATCAAGGAGATCAACCAGAGTTGCTTGGATGCAGCCTTTGCTGATGGTACCTTACCACGCGATGATACCCCCAAAGAAAAGGAAATCAGACTTGTACCACTGCATGAAATCGCGGACAAGCTCACCGCAGGCCGTCGCGATATCGCGGAGCGTGGCTGGGGCGGGCATAAGGCTACGAAAGCGGTGCAAGCACGCAAGCTATTAGGCTGGGAGCCAAAGCGACAGCAAAATGCTTGGAAGAAGGACTTTTGGGCTGAATTAGTCGCCCTGAAGGAGAACAGGCGGATGGTGACCATGGAGAGCTGCATTGGGGCCAAGAAGTAAGTCTTTGGTAACACATCGCTCGGAGCGTTTAGTTCTCTCATCTCAACAAAATCTGCATTGTGCTGGGCGATCGAAGGTTTGAAGTCAAGACACCGTGAATCATGCTTGTCCTCAGAGACCATCAAAGACTAAGCCCAATACGGTATTCTTTCGGGGCGTTAGCCTAGCGTCAGGATTTCAGAATTCGCAAATGAAGTTGTTGTCCCTGGAGCCTTGCTTTTCTTCTAATAATATTCGTTTGCATCAAACAGAACGTTCTCCGTAGAGCCTCGGCATCTTGAGCTCTTCACAGGCGCACCATACACAATGTGAAGTTCACGACACTATGCCCTCAATGGGTTGGAAGAGAGGTATTAAATGGGGCTATCCCATAAGTGCAACTCGTTACAGTTCGGAACATGGTTCCTCAATTGAGACCTACAAAACATCATTTCCTGGGGAAAGACGCTCTTAGCTAATGTCCTGCTAGGGCTCGTCTACCGTCTGAAGAGCGATACATGATTAGCGGTACGATGTACCAACAGGTCTTGGCTGTTGCGGCGTTTACGCACTCCTCTTCTCTTTCCCACCGGCATGGCATCCCATTGGTGTCATATGCGATCCGAGGCAGCGGGTTCCTTGCGAAGGATCTAGCTGCGGCGTGGAGGCACGGGGGGATTACGCTATTGAGTTAGTGCTTTGAGGAGAATCATGCGTCCCTCTGAAGTATATGCCGAGTTTTGCATTATTCCCTTCCCCCCAACCTTGCTGACAGTTCAAACTTGGTTATATCCGATAAGATAGACTGGGATTTGGTAATGATAGGAAGTCATTTCGAGCTTCGGTGGCTGTGCGTAGCTGGCAGATGCTAAGATAGAAGCGAGTTCATCGACAACCAGAACCTTTGCATCGGGTCGACACGGTAAGGCAATTTACAGAAGACTTTGTGATCATCTGTTTCTTTTTCCAGCCTCTGAGGCACAGTCGGCACGCCCGAGTGACCACAAAGATGTAGCTCGTGCCCCAACTCCTTTCGCATTTCCATTCGTTTTGGTGGTCAACGAACTCCGTCCTGTCTCCTGGTCTTACGCGCATCAAGATGTCGAATATGTCTCTGCTACGAAGATTGTCATATCAGATGCAGTCTCGTGGGCTAGAGGCTGGAACTAAGCAAGGATCATTGTTCGCAGTCGGTATCTCTTTCATTGTTATCACGAGTGTGATAATCTTCTTACGCATCTACGTGCGTATACGCTTGATGAAATTACATTTAGCCGTCGAAGACTGTAAGTCCACTGCCACAGGAAACCTTTGTAAGCTTCCCGCTAACAAGATCAAATCTAGATCTGATGCTATCTGGTGCACTTTTCACGATCTCGCTTTCTATGGCCAACATGATTTGTGAGTCTCCTCTCCGGCAATGAAACTCTAGCTATTGAACCTGAAACTAACTAATATTCCTATCCGTAGGTGGTTGGTACGGTGTAGGCACCCATAGTAAGTAGCCGAAGTAGATCCATCCAGTCAGACAGCAGCCGACGATCAAATAGCGCTCGACATCCCTAACGAGGATTTTCCATCCATGCTGAAAGCGAACCTTGCCACACGTCTTTTGTACGTTGTAGCAATTTGCCTAGTCAAGTTCAGCATCCTAGTGTTTTACCGAAGACTAGACCCTCGACGGCGTACGAGGTGGATTGTATACTTTTTGATGGCATGGGTGGCCGCCCTTTCGATCGTAACCTTTTTTGTACTACTATTTGTTTGCACACCACCTTCCCTATTTTGGAATCCTGTGGGCCAGGCCGAACATCCGGAGAAGTGCTTGAAGCAGACTACGCAACAGGTGTTCTTCAACATCAACGGCATCATGAAGTAGGTGTTGCCCAGTCTGATTATTTCGTTGATATTGTTTTGCTGACTTTCGTATCTCACAGCATCATCCAAGATTTCGCCATGTACATCCTACCACTCTTCATTGTCTGGAGGTTACAGATGCCACAAAGTCAAAAGATCGCTTTGTGCGCCATTCTCTGCGTTGGGCTGGTCGCAGTGGCAGCTGGCTGCGTACGATTCTATTATGTGCTTTTTCTTTCTAACGAAGCAGACATCTGGTACTATATGGCGGATTCACTGAATTGGTGTAGTATCGAGATATACGCCGGTGCGTCTCTTCCTTGCTGCTCTCAACGCTCCAGTGCTGATGAAACATTTGTACAGCCATTATTTGCAGTACGGCGTCCACTTTTAAAGTGCTTCTCAGGACATACCTTCCCAAGATTTGGAGTAGCGCGGGAAGCCATAAGAAGAGTTCTAGCGGACCTCGCGCACTCTACAGTCGATCGCACAGTGGACAGTTCGAGATGAAACCGTTTCGTGGGATAACAAACAAGTCAATCAGTAACAGGAAATACGGGGTCGAGGGTCTTACAGAGATCGAAAATGAGAGCGAGGAGGCTATCATGCGGTCCGAGAGTACTATGGGGGCAACTGCTGCCACATCCTCGCCAAATCGATAGCGAGTTTGGAAGAGTCACTGTATCACTAGAAGCTGAGCAGCGCTCACCACAATCATCAAGAACTGAGAAAGAGGCCGCACCGTGATAAGTTCCATCTACCCCTTGTTGAAGGAGGCCATGCTGTCATCGTGCTGTCCTAGCGCATGTCCTTCTCTCCATCATGTGAATTCTGCTGTCTCTTCCTCCATTACACAACTCCGTGGTGCCCATACTCCGCCATATCATACTCGAAGATGTACAAACTGACCACTCCAGGACCACACATATCACGCCTGCTTCGTGTCGCATTTCAAGAGCAGAGGTACTTTCCAAAGTACGGCTTTCAAGGATAAAAGCAAACACAGTAAGGAATGCTTGAGAAATCGGAAGCTTGGTCGCTATTTCCAATGTTCTTTCTCCAGATCGCTGCCTAGTGGCGGAGATTGGTGGCGTTCACGCCTTCCCCTTCCGGTTCTAGGGCGGCGCGCCTTGGATTCACCCTGAGGCTGCAACCCTTTTCCGTCCAGCTTGTCAATTCATAGTGCCTTGACTGCCTCCGTTCAATGATCACGGTGCAATTGACCCGAAACGCCTTGCGTACTGTAGCCTGGCGCACACCCGCTTGTGGTAAAGCTCGTTTTGCACCGTCGTCGTCTTCGTTACTATATATTCAAAGACACCATCCGAACATACGTTATCGACAAATTGCTTCAACATCAAAGATGGCTTCTTCATCTTCCTCTTCTACTAAGAAGGAAGAAATGGAGGAGGGTCTACGCAAGATGGATATTAACGCAGCGGAGAAGCACATGAAGGATTGGTTTGGTGACCATGCATCATGGAGTCACGAACAGCTTCTTAATCTTATCTACGGTACGATGCTTTTGAGAATCTTAACATTACATACTGATAGATATTAGAGGAGGACCTTATAACGTTGCGACATGTGCAGTCGTTTGGCGATTACGTTTCTGGTGGTCTTCGACCCAGCGGTGGCCGTCCTTCTTTTCCACTCATGACGCATGAAGAGTGGGGCCTTCTAAATGCTTCATACAGCCAGTGGGCTCCAGCACCCTACAACAACCTGCACTACAGTTGTATGGATCGGATTGCCCCATTGATCATGAGACAAGAGATCAAGGAACTCAAAGCCCCGCCACATATCGGCTTTCTTGCTCGTCTACGTCCTCTGAAAGCAAAGCTCTTGCTTGGTATGGTGCCAATCAGCGGAGACCGCTGGCTAGAGCGTAAGATGGATGACCCTGCGAACTACAGGAACCTTTTCGAATTGATCAAGGACGTCAATTACATATTCGAATGGTTCAATCATGATGAGGTTCAAAACCGGACAAGGAGCGCTTTCAATTGGATGGTTGACAAATATGTCGAATTCGAGCAGGCAGCTAACCTTCGGCGCGAAAACAACGGCATTGGAGAGAAACTCAACCTGGCCGGTATGTGGGCAGAATACTGGAACGACTTGACAACCAACATGTCAGAACGGACGCATCGATGGATTGTAGATCGCGTGGATGAAGTCCAAGCACACGCTTTTGCGCAATACCAGGATGCTCTCAAGGATGCTGGAACTGACGAAGCAGCTGTTGGCGAAGCAGGCAAGAAGTATTACGAGTGTGTACAAGATCTCAGAGGCATGCTCACCAGACTGGACTACACCATCGGCATCCCCATGACTGGCTTCAAGGGATACACAGCCTCCAACGCCTTCAAGGATCTCCCAGTAACACAGAGACATGATACCTGGAGAAAGATGATGGCGGCAAAGTCTTTCAAACATCAGATAGCTATCCTTGAAGCGCAAGACAAAGCCGATGCTGAGCAAGCTTCCAAACAACCGACAATGGAGGAACTACTCGATCCAATTCAGCAACTCACGAAGCCAGCACATCCACGATTTCGGGACACCGAAAATCTCATTGGCCACTACGAAGAAGGCAAGAGAAACCGCGACGAGATTCGATTAGTCCTCTGTGGTCCACCGAAACAGCCCACTCAGGAACATTGGATAACAATCCTACGTGAGCGCATGGACTTTTACGCAAAGAATCCGCGAGATGTAACTCGGAACCCGGATGCGTGGGGTTTTGTTTGCTACCGCCTAACTTACGATCAAACCGATGAGCAATGGGCGACCTTCGAGAAAAAGTTCCTTCAAGACGTCTCACGATCTGGAAACTGGATCGAAGGATTCGACAGCATCAACAGGAAGCATAAAATCATGGTCATCGATGGGCGAGAATTTGGAATCGCGGAAGGTGATGTGGCGGCTGCCAAACGACACTTCAAGAAGACCTTCACCATGTTACCGACGCTCGGGCGTATGTGGACTCAAGACTTCCTTGTCATCGATAAGCAAGCATATGCGTCATATGCTGAGTCGCCCAAAGAGCAAGTTCGGCCTCCGCCTCCGTATGGTCCTGGATTTGGTTGCAATGGCGGGCATGTGCGTCTTGTAGATGGGACGTTTGATCAGCTCTCACGGGAACTGATCGATACCTTAGCGCCTGGCTTTAAGGGCGAGATGAAGGTGTTGTCGAGCCTACTCCTGGAAGAGTTGTATCCACTTCTAGCGACGTTGAGCGTTCGACCTTACGGCTTGTGGCCATGCGCTCGATTGCATCCAAGAGAGGTGTACGTAGGGACAACGGATGCTGCCCAAGAGGGATGGTGGGAGTTTGGCCGCATCGATCAGGCTATGATGCAAGGATTTTTCGAAAGCATGAGGTCTAAGAAAGCTGACCTCCTCGCTAGGAAGACTTAATAACTATATACAATGAAGAGCAATTACATTAACCTGTTTGATAACGCTACTTGGAGATAGAGTTCATCCACTGAACCCCGCGGCAGCGCAGATCCCCACACCATAGGTCGCTCCATCACCAGCAGCAGATATAAGTGATGGTCTACCCTTGCGGCAGCTTTTCGTGATGCATGAAACTGCATCCATCTTGTTTGGGATGACATACTGGGTACAAACAAAATTAGAGAATTTCCAGAACAGACATCCTGCGTTGCTGCCGAAGCAGCGATAGCAGCAGTCCTTGGGATTGTTGGAATCCGACAATACGCCCCAGACGGAACCAGGATAGTCGGGTCGGGTGGAAGTGTAAAGGACAGGATCGGCGCAGGGATCAGCCTGAACAGTCTGAGTAGCGGTTGCTGTGGAAGTAGTCGCTGCACAATGTTAGCAACGACGCCAGACAATCAGGATAACGTTTCTTACTTGTTGTAATAGTCGCGACAATAGAAGTCAAAGAGTGTGTCTCGGTGATCGCAATAATTGTTGTCGAAAAGTCGGTTGAGACGGCAGAAGCGACAGCTGTTGCGGTTTGAAGGACATCAGAGGTTTTTGAATTATACTTGGTAACGGTGGTAAGCTTGACCTGCGTCACGCGTACAGTTGAGGTAGGTCTGGTAACCGTTGACGTTGTTGTGGTTTGGCCGCACGTGGTTGTTCTTGTGAGGTAGCACGCTATCACTCTGTCAGTCTTTTGTACCTATTCAAGCAATGTGTTACGTACAGCAATCACGAGGGATTATGTCCAATGCCTTGTAATTGTTTTGACGTTTGCGGACCACTGGAGTAGCAGCAGCACATGTCTCCTGTTGGTACGGTATCGAAGAGGTGATTGTAGTTGTTCTATACCGGTCAGTCGCAGCATATAGACTGATTGTTAAAAAGATGGTACGCACATTGTCTCGTCTTGGGAATCTGTCACTGTTACAGGTATGATCAATGTTGTCTGTGCAGTGCTCGTGGCCGTCTGAACCAACGTGGTTTGAGAGACCGTAGTGCTCGTAACAGTTTTTTGGATGGTTCTCTGCACATTGCTGCGTAAGTTAGTGAAGATCCTAACCCATGGTTTGCCAAGTACGTACGTTGCAACAGTGAAAGAAGCTGTTTGCGTCACAGTGACAGTCTGAGTCGTCGATGGCTGAACAGTCGTTGTCTTGGTGATTGTAGATTTGGGTTTAGAACATGTTGTTAACTTTAGACCGGCTTTGGCTGTGGAAACGTAAGTATCTTACTCCAGACATTTTCTTGGAGATTCATACAGATAAGTGATGAGCAGACTTTGGCTGAAGCTTGAGGAAGCTTGATGCAAGATTTGGATTGTGGGGCGCAGAAATCGGCTGCATCTGCAAGTCCAACACTGGCGAGCACAATAAGAATTGCTGAAAAAGCCTTCATCTTGACGCAGTTGAGGTACTCGTGCAGTTGATCAACAGCACAAGGCACGTGTGACGGTCTTATAGAATTTCATTGCTTCATGCATAGATGAGCCCATGGTGCATACAAGCGGTATCGAGACTGTATGCATATATTCCACAGCGATGCTTTACTGAACACAGTCAAATCAGCTCTAGAACAGCAAGCCTCCAACCAGAAGTAGAGTTTTTACTCGAAATCGCAGCCTCAATTAGCATTGTGTAGCCTTGCGAAAGGTTGATAGAACCCACGCTATGCCGTACTTGGTATCGTCGGATGGATGTGGAAATAAGGGAACACATAGTCCACATTCTAGACGCTCGGCGTTGCCGTTCTGCGTGGTAGGCGAACATCGTGGCTTGAGCATGCTCGGAGGGTTTTTAAGGGGTGCATGGCAGAGTAACGCCGAATCGATAGCGCTGGTCAATTAACACTCTGTTCATGAAGCAGCAGCGAGTAACCGATTGTGAGGTGGTTTGATCAAGATAGTCCTATTGTCGCGTAGATTGATTCGGTGGTGGATCCTAAGCTTCGTCGTACTCCTGAGCTTGCAGACTAGCGCAAGGCTAAGGGGGACATGACGTAATCCTTGTAGGTGAGGCTTGCGAGATCAGCAACTCTGACTTCTCTTTCTCCTTCTCACAGCAATGCCTCTTCTTCAGTTACACACGCTTCCCATGAAATGTGGTCGCCACATCCCTGCGGAAGTTATTCGGCTTATCATCCGAAACCCATTAAATCCTCGTCTCGTTCGCAACAGGTCGTTCACCGCATGAATCATGATGAATGCTGGCTCTCGCGGCATTACTCGCCATCAATGGGTGTCGACACAGCTTAGCTATGAACAACCAAGAGATAGCAACGGGGGAACACTTGCGCAAACACTTGCGCAGGTACCTCCCTATCAAGAATCGTAGGGTGTGGAATTATTCATCAAAGCGACTCATTGACGTCAAAAATGCTCACAGCTGATATTGTAGCGACTGTCATTACCTCCCTTTTGCATTCTTTTCTTTGTTGTCATGCCTGGTCATCGATCTTTCACGTCGATACCTAGTCTATTGTTTCCCTTTCTACAGTGCCACGCGATACCTTTGTCCACTGCCATCTTTGTCCACGTAACGCCGGCAGCCGTAGCATACCACAACGTGCAGCATGAAGCCTGCGCATTGATTCTGTTTACTCGGCGCATCCACGAACAACAAGAAGTACATAGCGCAATGCCGGGGATCGAAACAACCTTCTGCAAAGGCTACGGCTTCTCTTCAACCCTCATGGTACCGACGAAAAGAAGAAGGTCCGAGGAAGACAAGTATGTCGACTTGGGGTTTGGATTGTGTTATCGAAGACAACAACAAGACCCGCAAGATAGCAAACACAACGATGAAGATAACGCCTACGACGGCGAACAACCACCGCACAAACGCCGAATACTAAACTCGTTCTACGGTTCCCAGTCAGCACGTCTCGGTATCATTCCCGCAGCCACGTTAGCCACTCTTCACGGCCTCATGAAATTTGGAAGGGAAAGCGTGGATGTAGGCATAAGAGTCTTCCAAGCGCCATACGCAGTATGTAGAGGTGTTCCAAGATACGTGCGAGATGTGCATAGAGCAGGAGTGGTAAGAAGTGTGTTTGAGAGCACAGCTGTACCAGGAACCATTCCAGACCTCGAGAGCTGGTTGAAGGTAGTTGGTTCGCATGGACGGCAGACGTATGTTGAAGATAAAGGAGATGAGAACAATAGCGGCACTTGTAGGGGTGGAAGTACGAGCCTGAGGCCTGATGGGTCGGATCCAGATTCCGATGACTTTGACTCAGCAACGCGGCCGGACGGCGATGCCATATCTATCTGTCACCTATCAGAACGCCCAGTGTATTCGTCAATTCTGCCGCAAAGTTTGATACCGGCAAGGCTACCACCAGAGATGAGACATGGTTCTCAGAACTCCACACCTCGAATAAGGAGCATATATACCACGACTGTATACGCTGGGATACAAACTTCGCCAACTGACCAAGAGGATACTCAAGAGCAAATGAAGAGCCAAAAGCACACGTGGCTTTTGAGCGAGCAAGCTGCACAGTCGCAAAGTGCGTCGGAGAAGGTGGTTTCGGCGATGCTGAAGCGGCCAGTAAGAACGGGACGTCGGCGCGAACCGATGTCCACACCTTTCTCTAGTGCTGAGTTAGCTAATTTGGGGCTCCCACATTTGAAGGACGGCGCTGCTTCTGGAATACAGGTAGAGAGTTATGCAGAACCAGTGGCCTCTCGGAGGCAGAATACATCAGATGTAGAGAATTCCACGCCGTTAACTCGAAAAGCCCGAAGAAAAGTGCAACCAGAGAACAACCTCCGAAGTCATGTACTGAAAAAGGCAACTACCAGACAGCCAAATCAACAGCAGCTACGGCATCAGCGCGCTCAAACTCCGGCAAGTACAGAGCCTGCTCCAAGTTCCAGATCATGTTCCCTCTGCCATTTTGACAACTCGATTACCTCCACCTTCTGTAGTGCATGTTATACACCACGTCTCCCCGAGCCAGCACCCCGATCTCGTGCTCAAGGCATAGTAAAGCACGATCTGTTACCCGATGTGTATCCAGAGTACGGTCATTGGGGGGAAACTACGATGGTCACTATCCGAAATTACCATGAGGATGTTTTATGTACAGGCGCCGCCGGCCCACCCGGCACAATGAACCAGGATGGCTCGCATGTCAGTATTCCCACGTCAGAATTTCGAAGACTCAACAAAGCTAGAGAGGATGCTCTGATAGAAGACAGTATACGCACAGTCCGAGATCAAGAGCGACGGACTATTGCGCGAGAGAACGGAATTGATGTGCCGGTGCATAGTGAACCGTACTACAGCGGCTTGAAGGAGGAGAAAGCTGTGGAACAACTAACAACGAAACAGGCATTGAGTTTGGAAAGGGGCTTGGAGGTGGAGAGGGTGTGGATGCGGAAGCTTGCTGATTGGAGGGAAGAGGCTGAGGGTGATGCGAGAAGGCCGTTTCCGCTCATCGTACCGGATTACAAAGATCTGCAAGATTGGGAATTGGACAGATTAGAAGGAGATATCATGTTGCTGGACAGGATTTTCGCGAGCCTTGAAGATGCCGCTAGCGCTGGTCGTACTACGTCGAGCAGCGAGAACAGCAATATCAAGCTCTCCGAAGACCCAAAACGATTGGCAGTCAGGAACGAGGATTTGAAAGCCGTACAGCAACGAGAAGTAGAACGACAATACCTCGCTCTCGTGGCGGAGGCACAACGGCAAGCACGTGTCGAGAACACACAGTTTCCGGAAGGCTTGCGAGGCTGGGATCAAATTGGACCAGACGAACAGGAACTTGTTCGATGGGCAATCTACGCCAATCAGGTCAATGATATATCAGAGCAGGCAAGAAGGAAAACCCCGACTGATAGACCTACTATATTTGCGTTCTCCCCACAGGACAGCATAGCCATCCCTAAAGGTGCTTCTACCACCGATGGTATCTCAAATAGGAAGAAGTGCCGTCTCGTTTCTGAAACTAACAGTCGACCTCGGCCTATCACCGAATCACAGCGGGCTGATAGGTCATTGGAGGAGCAGGAGAGAGACGAATACTACGCCCATTTGAAGCAGAAGTTTGAAGATCAGAAGTGGGTAGAAATGGTCTATAACGTTGAAGTAACGAGATACAGTATTTTGTATACTGGAAGGAGATGGCCAGACGACGTGGCGAATTGGGAAACTATTACCCCTGCAGCTAAAGCAATGGTCTTGGAAGTGACAGAATATCTTACATTGAAAGAGGAGATCGAGGAGTCGAGTGCAGAAAACAAGTAGCCGAGGATCAAGTACTGCTTGTGATGAAGTGTTAAGGTCTGGTTGTTGCGCCGTCTGGCGGCGGGGGAGAATGCGAAGTCTGTGAAACACGTTACAAAATATATATACTAACAGAAACCGGAGACCATGGTTCCAGAGATGCATGGAGAGAAGTGGTCGAGTGATGGGAAATAGAAACGCAACTCAAGTTAGTGCCGTCCCTTGGTGCATTAGTCATGCTCTGCTCAACCAATCAAGAGCCGCGGCATCGACTCATCCTGAGTTGCTGAAGAATTGCGCTAGCCCTGCTTGGCTGTGTCATCTGTGTGTATATGAGCTGAAAGGCTGTTGAATTTTGAACGACTGTAATTGTGGAATGCATCAGAAAAGACGTCCTCTTCGAAAACAATTCTACTACACTTATCAGTCGACAACTCCTAGAGCTATGGTGCGCAAGACTAAAGAAAGCGCGCCAGTTGCAGAGCATCATGGCGGTGGTCACATCACAGTGACAGCACAGCAATCACGCTATGCGCTCGACGCTGTCGACGCGCCAGCATCAAAAGAGGTATATTGACTTGTGCGTCTCCCACTCCAAGTTGTCTTTGTTCACTCTCCTAGATACTCATCAAAGACCTATCTATCACAGTCGCAAACCGCGAACTGCTTTCACGCACAACACTCCATTTGGTAGAAGCACGACACTATGTGATGGTCGGTCGAAACGGGACTGGCAAGTCAACGATCCTCAAGGCTATTGCTGATGGTCTCGTTCCCGGAATTCCGTGGAGTACGAGAATTCTACTATTAGGCCAGACTAGGGAGGATAGTATTGAAGATGGTATAGATGCGCTGGGTCTGGAAAGCGAGACGGTCTTACAACATGTCGTTCGGAGTGATCGGGTTCGAGAGCGGTATGTGCGAGAGGCGAAGATGCTCAGTGAAGCAATTGAGGACTCGATTGATTCCATGGCACCAGTTCGGGCGTACAGGCGCATTGGTCACGAGAGACTGGCCCTGCAACTAAAAGAAGGCCACCGCATCGCGGAGAGGAGAAGTGGCGCACGGGGTAAGCTAGCGAGGAAAGAGCTGATCAAGCTTGAGGAACGCTTCGAGGAATCCGAGAAAAGTTTGCAAGAGGCGGAGATCGATTCTACGCAGCTCAGCGAAGAGATGCAAGCCGCCGCAGATCTGCTCGCTGGTGTGCAGGCTTCCCTCGAACTCATGGATGCGAATGAGGCTGAAGCAAAAGCACGAGCGGTCTTGCTGGGCCTTGGCTTTAAGGAAGATCGTATCGACAAGCTCGTGTCGGAGCTTTCGGGAGGATGGAAGACGAGATGCGAATTAGCATGCGCCCTCACTCAGTACGCCGACGTGCTGCTACTTGATGAGCCTACCAACTTCTTGGATCTGCCATCTATCATCTGGCTGCAGGATTATATTCGGAATCTGAAAGGCACAACTGTCCTCATAACAACTCACGACCGCGACTTTGGAGATGCAGTAGCTGAGGAGCTTCTTGTGCTGCGTAACCAGACTCTAGAGACTTTTCGCGGAAATCTCAGTCTGTACGAGCGCGAGAGGTGGAAGAAAGCCAGATACATGACGAAGATGAAGGAAGCGCAGGACAAGCAGAAAAAGCACATTGAGAAAACCATCGCCGGCAACATCAAGGCAGCTAAAGATAAGGGAGACGATAAGAAGTTGAAGCAGGCTGCATCGAGGAAGAAGAAGCTCGACGATAGAATGGGGCTGCAAGTTGGTCTCAAAGGCGGTCGGTTCAAGCTGAACCGGGATCTCGGAGGCTATCATTTGTCCCGCCGGGCGGAAATTGAGATACCTGATTTTGATCCACCAGTCCAACTCTCGTTTCCGCACCAGCCACCCGATTTGAAGTTTCCTGGCGCGTTAGTAAGCCTAGAGAAGGTGTCATTTGCGTATCCTGGAAGAAAGAAATTGCCCGTCTTGACAGACGTCAATTTGACCATCCACCCGGGTGCAAGAATAGGATTGGCGGGCCTCAATGGCTCGGGCAAGACGACGCTGGCTTCACTGATAATGGGCGGTGATGAGGGCGGACTTCTCCCCACTTCAGGCACGATTGCGCGACATGCGAGGGTGAAGATGGGTCGCTTCTCGCAGCAATCTGTCGAAGAGATCACAGCCATGGCGTCGTCCAACCCTCATATCACGGCCCTTCGGCACTTAATGGACTGTGTTGGTGATGAGGCACAGGAGAAGGACGCGCGGGCAGTTTTAAGCGGATTGGGGCTCCATGGTCAGACGGTGTCGGACGTTCCGCTCGTACTCCTCTCGGGAGGGCAGAAGGTCAGGGTTGCTCTTGCCAAGCTTCTATGGCCGCCGCCGCAGCTTCTTATTCTGGACGAGGTGACAACCCATCTGGATGCAGATACCATCCTGGGTCTCGTGATGGCATTAAGGGAGTATGAGGGCGCGCTGCTGGTAGTGACCCACGACAGGTTCTTCATGAGGTATGTCAGCTCTTGTCGATCGCGGAAGAACGCATCGAAAATAAGCACAATAGAGTTCAGCTATTAACACCCCGCAGAACCGTGGTGGAAGGGCAGTCGCCGTACAAGCTAGCGCCAGGGGTTCACGCGGCGTCCGAGGGCGAGGCTGACGAAAGCAGCGAGTCGGAGGACGAAGAAGCAGGGCTAGCTCCGGGGAGCGTTTTTCGGCTGACTAGCAAAGGGCAGGTCAGGAAGCTTGACCTGGGCATGGATGAGTATGAGGACATTGCGGCGCGGACAGCGGCAAAGCTGGCTCGAGCAAGGCGGTAGTTTGCTGAGAATAGAAATGAAGGCAATTTATGTCTCCAGAGGCTCAGCTTGTGAGAGGGGAGAGCGTCTGTCCAGACCTCCGAGGCGACGTCTGACAGCTGCCGGGGCCATTTGGTTCGGGCGGGCTTGCTTCCCGCTGCACGCACTGATGACAGCGCGACACTTGCGCGCGGATCACTGTGCACGGCAAAGGCCTTTAGGGGCAGCTTTTCGCGCCAAGCTCGAGCGAGATAATATTGCTCCAACGCGTCGCTCCTTTTGTTCGCAGCGTCCAATTGGTCTCCTCTCATTAGCCATTGGCGTGCACTATGCCCATCTTTCCTTGTATACCCCTTCTGACCGTAATAGTAATGTCATAGCTGTAGCTATAATCCTTCCACAGGCACGCATGAACGACTCTGCGTATCGAGATAAGCTCGAGCTTGGGAACCCTGAGTAATAATATCTGGCGGGCATCATGGGCGAAACCGAATCATCCACACCTCGCTCCACCGCCGAACCACAGCTCAAGGCTGCCAAAGACAAGAACTGTCCCTTTTGCGGCCAGGCATTCACTTCATCCAGTCTGGGACGCCACCTAGACCTGTACATCAGACCCAAAAACCCAAAGGCGCCCGACGGTGTCCATAATGTCGACGAGATCCGGAAGCTGCGAGGCGGCATCACCAGGCGACAGGCCAAGGGCAGCGTATCAACGCCGCGCCGCGATGATAGCGGCACCAGTACGCCTGCAAACAAGAAGCGGATAGCGAGCGAAGATTCTGTCCTTGTCGGCAGCCCCGAGGACGATGATGAGCCGCTAGAGATTGGCAAGACGAGGGGGCAGTTCAAGGATGTGAGCTGGGGAAGCAGCAACCGGCCTTCAAGGCTAAACACCAAAACACCAGACCCTCGCCGTGATGCATCGCGGCAGACGCGCAAGGCCGACCTCGACCAGAGGCAGAAGACCAACGAGGAAAATGAAATTGCGAGCGCCACCGAGATGGCGCTGCGGGAGCTGTTGAAGAGCGTGCGAGACGCCAAGTATGTCATCCATCACCCATTATGTACCCCTATGACGCTAACAACCCCCCAGTGCCAAAGCATCTGGCTCCGGCCTCTTCGACTTCGACCCCTACACGCAAAACTTCCCCTCACTGTGCCTCCAAATCCTCCCCGCGCCCTCAACCCTCTTCTCACCCACGCCCTTTCCTACGTCCGAGTCATGGTCCATCACCCCGCCGGGACAGAAGCAGTTCGAAGCACTGAATAAGCAGGTCCGCGAGCGTCTGCTTGCCTACCAACGCCAGCGTCAGATCAACCAGGTCTACCCGTCAGGCTCGCACTCATCCGCTCCTTCCACCAACACCTCACCCCTACCCACACCACCGCTCTTTGACCACGACCCACAACGTCTCTTTGGCCACATTGCAGACGCCTACCACCACTGGACACAACAGTCAGACAAGACGAGGCAGGAGTACTGGCAGATTGAGATACTGCGCTGCTATGCCCGTGCCGACGACAGGCGACGGGAAGCTGAGGTGCAGCTGGGGAACGCACGTCGAGAGATTGAGTACTTGAAAGCCAACCGCTGGACTTCGGGAGCTCCCGATGTATCGCCCATCAGTATCAACCTCGGCACCGACACTGCCAAAGAGCTTGCCAAGCACGGTATGGACTACCGCAACTGGGACTACGACCGCCTCATCGACAAGTGGCGGACCGCTATACGTGAGAACAGGGCTTCAGTTTCCGGTATGAATGCTCAGAAGCCACTCCCCAGCAGCACTAGTTCTAGGAGCTGCTCCATGGCTAGTCTCCCACCAACGCAGTTTGCTACCGTGAATCAGCCTAGGCAAGGCAGCCCAATCAAGGTCGAGACAAACATGCCCTTCAGTGCACCACCCACCGTATGTGGTGATGGAGACAACGACCAAGTCGATGCAGAGGGCGATGATGACGACGATGATATCGACCTGACTCCCCAGACTATCGAGGAGGACGAATCGATGCACCAGATGCAGCATCAAGCCCAACAGCAGGCCTTGCACCATCCCCAGCCCCAACATCACCATGGAGCTCCCCTCCAACCGACGCCACCGCATCCCTCACAGCAGTTTCAACCACACATGCAGACCACCCACATCAGCCAGGCTCAGATTGCGCAGGCGCAGGCTCAAGCCCAAGCATGGGCAGCCGCGCGTCAGCACATGAACCAGTCACGCAATCAAGACTTCCGCCCACATCAGCAGCATCAGCTCTCGCCTCATTTACAGCACGTCGGCTCAGCTGATAGCAGTCGACGAGAATCGCTCGCCATGATGGATCCACACGGCATGAACCAGAACAACATGAGCGCCATGGGCAGCTCCATGATGTCAGGGGGTATGGACAGTCTCGACAGCCGTCAAGACCAGTTTCTTCACATGGATATGGGCATGTCGACGGGCTTTGTCGGCTCGAACGATCCCAGCGTCACAATGGGTTAATCGATGCTGTACAGCACAACAGCAAGATTGTCAACGATGGGCAGAAAGGACTCTTCGGCATGGCGTAACGTGATACACGGAACGCGATACACGGACTGGCCTACTCTACAGCGGTTTTCACACATCTCGTTATTTCGTTTGTTCAACACTCTCGCCTCTTTCTCCCTTTGTTCTTCTCTATCTTTCTATACTCAGCTCGGCTTTTCGCTATACCCATATACCCGGCCTTGCAGCTTGATACCCATTTTCTTGCCAACCTTGGAACCCTGAGCCAAACCTTTTCCTACATTATACTTAATAACCTTCCCTTGTTTACTTGCGTTATACTGAGATTGTCTGTTTCCTATGTAGAGTCTACAGAAGCCTTCGTTGGCAGTTACACTTGGGAGGTCATTGTGCTTGCATTTGTATATACCCAACACTAAACTTCCCTATTGTTAGATATTAGAAACAACGGCAGGTGGTGGGGGAGGAGTAGGAGTAGGTGGAAGAATCGATTATAGTAAATTTTGAACTCGTGGGCCACCTGGTCCTTTCAATTACAAATGTCCAACTCACGTTGGAGATACGCCATTCCAGACATATCTTGACTGTCAGTATGAGACACTTCCGTCAAAGACCTCGAATCGCGACAATCGACAGTGGTTGATAATAGACGAATAATTGACACAATGGCTCGGAGGAAATGGTCCAACTTGGTCCAACTAAGTCCAAACTTATCTCTCAACAGGTGTGTGGCTCTTTCAGTCGACACCTTTTCCCACCAACATCAAAACCCCGAATTTCACGATGACTCAATAACGCGGGCATTCAACTAACGAAGCACGTACCTTACTTACCAATGCCACAGGCGGACCAAACAACGAATCATCCGCCACGATATCATGTTCATCCGCTTCACTCAGTATATCAACTCCCAGCGCAACCACGAATTCGAACACCACTCTTACACTTCCGTCACAAACAAAAGCCTCTGTCAGCAGAATCCATGCCTGTGGCGTCTTCCCCAAGTTTGAGATAAGTTTCTGTCGAGTTGAAAATCGGTACTACTCTCCTGTTCACAAAGATGCAGGCGACAAGGATCTTACTTCTTCCTATTCCCGATGGACTTTCTGATGCTGAGGAGGATGTGATGGGGCCAGTGGAAGTGAAAGATATGTCTTCTTTTGCATCTCCGTCTTCCATCTGCGCACATGGCGAGAAGGAGGGTAGACTGAAAGTATAAAATACGTCGGCGGAGGAGGAGCATGGGGAAGATGGTGTGACGGGGCATGGTCGATGTGGATATGGAGTCGTAGGGACAGGCACGCAAAGGTAGTACGGAGATATTTACACGTGGGTACAAGAAGCAAGTCCGGTGATATATCCATGGGTTCGTGTAGAAATCACTGGTGGAAGCTTGTGATGTGAGACAGGCGTGTGACGAATCTGTCCAAAGTGTGATATTAGGTATAAGACGTAGGAATGAGATCATGACCCTGAGCTGCATCGAACACTACAGATTCGTCTGCGAGATACACTCAACGTCAAGAAAAGCTACAGCTAAATTACGTCGATAGCATGTCTGAAACGCCAAACGGACGGGGCGAAGTTTATGGATATGGTAGCCGTCGTGGAGGGAGGGGCGGAGGAATGGTCGGTCGTAAGGATGGTGAAAGAAGTAGGGAAACTCTCGATGAGAGCCAGATTATAGGCGGTGTTTACCGCGACGCCAATCTGGGCGAGCACGGAAGAGGAAGAGCGATGGGCGGAGGAGTAGATGGTACTAGACAACACTTGTCTCAGATCCGAGGTGGTACTTTCGGTGTACTTCGATTTACGACTCACACAAACATACCTGGAGCACGATCAACACAGACGATCAGAGGGTACAAAAACATCAACAACGCCAACAACGAGGCAGAAGATAATAAACGGCCTAATCAACGACAAAACGCAAGCGCCAAGGGCATCATGAGCAAGGGCAATGAGAATAGGACGCCCCAGCTGCCAGGCACTGTAATACAGAAGAAAACCCCGGGAACACGCTTGTTTTCAGACGTTGCAAGAGCCAACATACACGAGCTGAAAGATACCAGTAAGAGTAGAACGAACTTTGGTGGCATACCACCATTAAGGCAAACCGACGGGATTGCATACACTCCTGCTCTACAGTCAATATCACGTAGGGGGCCTATTATAGAAGGAGGCAGTGATGAAGAGGTTCTCGTGCCAATCATACAACGTGCAATTGGTATGCCTCGCAAGATCTCACCACCCTCGATGCTGCCACAAAAGGTTTTTCGGCCTGTCAAACAGCCAGCCACTGCTATTGCTTCTCTGCAAGAGTTTTTCCAACGCTCTGAGGGAGCAGCTACATCGCAAGATACTCCGTCGAGACGATACACACGGCTTGCGTCCACCAGCTCATCTGGGTCACCAACCTCCCGGCCAGCGCAGCCTCCTGCAGCGTTGATTCCACCATCGAGTCCAATGCAAAGAGACGATAGTAATCTTTACGAAAGAAACAAAACTGAAGCAGAGAAGGAGAAGATCTGAGCAGAGATAAAAGAACAGAATATGCCCTTGGGAAATCGCTGGCAAAACTGCTAATTTTATACTGGCGTGATCTGAGATAGCTTCTCTTTCGTTGTCATACAAGATTGTAGATAGAAAACTGATCTCTCGTCTTCTTCCGAAACAAAGATCACTCGTGTTAATCTTCAGAAGCTTTCTGGTGAGGGTTACGATCTTGTTCTTGGAAGAAACCAGACGAATGTGGTTGTTCTACACCTATGGTGACCGCCTTGTAGGTAACTCTAGGACAGTGCACAATGGCAAGCAGCGTAGTTTGGAGAAAGAGGGAAGAGTTCGCAACAACGCCTGATTACAGATCTCGGGTATACCGGCACAAAACGCCTTGTCGTCACTCACGTACTTCGCGGGATAAAACATGCGGGGATAGACCGACCGGCATGCGCCCCATGTGCGCTAATCAATTGGCGCAATCCCAACCGATTACAACCAGCTGCTCCGGTCCGACACCAACGACATCCGCCTATCTCGCCCACGTGTAATCATAGCTGGTTCTTATCTTCTACCATGATGACAGCCCCCAATCCACCAAGCCTTTTCCCAAGCCGCGGTCGTTGCGTAAGCTCATGCAAGCTTCTGCAAGTCTTTTGGCGTTAGCGATTGAAGTAGGCGTGCTCCGTGCCGCGCACATGGGATTACCGTCTGGCTAGTATGCATCTGTTCCTGCAGCCTACTGCTAGGATTGTGGATTGAAGCCATGTCGTTGACGTAGGTGATGGATGCTTAGCTTGACCAAGCTGGCTGAGCTGGGTATAAGAAGAAGGAACTTGGTGGTGCGATTCGGCGGTGTGTTGATTTTCCTGGTCTTTCGCTATCCTCGCCCAAGCTGCTCCGTCTCGATATGTCTGCTCTCCTGGTATTAGGTCTCGCTGCTACGGCTCTGGGCTATCCCACCGTCAGCAAGCATCACCACACTCCTCTTGAGAATGTCACCGACTACCTCGTTTCTCTCGGTCCCCGACCATACTACATCATTAATAATATGACTGATAGCCCATTGAAGAGGAAATTACAGTCTTGTGAAAACACTCCTGTTTCCATATCAGGATTTTCGATCGGCCATCGCGGCGGCGGAACACTTCAGTTTCCAGAGGAGACAATTCGTTCGGAAGATGCTGGAGCGCGTATGGGCGCTGGTATCTTGGAATGCGATGTAACATTCACAAGCGACAGGGGCTTAGTATGCAGACATGATCTATGCGATTTGCACCGAACGACAGACATTCTGCTCAGACCAGAGTTGGCAGCGAAATGTACGACGCCGTTCACACCAGCTAATGCGACGAGTGATGCGAACGCGCTGTGTTGTACGTCTGACATCACAATCGATGAGTGTATGTCCCCACTTCCGTTTCAACATCCAAGACGATAGTTTTGACTGATAAAACTCATAGTCAGCACGCTGTGCAGCAAACAAGACGGCATAAATGCCTCCGCCACAAACGTAGTCGACTTCCAAGCGGGCACACCTCCCTGGCGCACGGAGCTCTACGATACATGCGGCCAAGTACTAACCCTTGATCAATACATCGATCTTGTAGACTCCTATCCAGGCTACCGTAACTTCACTCCCGAGCTCAAAACGCCACCCGCTGCCGTCCCCATGCCTTTCCAAGGAAACTACACACAGCAGCAGTACGCCAGCGATATGATATCCGCTTTCCGTAACAAGGGCATCGACGCCTCTCGTGTGTGGCCACAATCTTTTACCTATGATGACATTGTATACTGGCTGCAAAATGATCACGACTTTGGTCGTCAGGCGGCCTATCTCCAAGAATTCGACACACCCGCGGACCTGGCAGCCGGAATGGCCAACCTAAGCATTGCGCGGGCCGCAGGCGTAAACATCATTGCGCCAGCGCTACCCATGCTTCTATCAATTGGCGGCGCTGACAACAAGACCATTGTTGAGAGCGAGTACTCGAAAGCTATCAAAGCAAATGGCATGGATATCATCGCCTGGACGTTCGAGAGGTCAGGACCCTTGGCCAATGTGAAGAAAGACGAGGAATATTACTACTCCACGATTGCGGATGTAATCACACATGATGGACAATTGTACGAAGTACTAGATGTTCTCGTCAGGGAGGTTGGGATCAAGGGCCTGTTCACAGATTGGGCGGCGACAGTGACTTATTTTGCAAACTGCTTCGGGTTGGAGGGACCTGTGGGTGGAAGCTATAGCTGAGGTGTCCTTGAACAATAGGTAATGAGAATATGAGATATGAACTTTGCCACTTGCTACACAATGCTCTTGAGAGGTGAATTGAAGAGTAGTCAGATCTGACAAGGGGATCTTTTGGCATGACCTTGTATGTTGTGACACAGCAAGAAAAGGACGGTACATACTTAGGTATTGTAAGACTCTATACAAGTGAGAGCCGCTAGGATTCCACACCATGTATGCGTTGGGTTTCTGTTGATTAGGCATATTTTCCGTTCTACAATATCGTCGCAATATTCCTCTTCTTCCTGGTCACCTCCTTTTCAGTTATCGTATCGCCGAGTATGTATTAGCACCACAAACCATCTATCGATCTACCATCTATCGCACTGACACAAGCAGTCCCTACCAGCCATTGAGACCACAAATTGTATTTCATTTCGGCAAAAAGTGGTTTTACCCTCTTGACTCGACATGAACTTTATGGACGTACACCGTAATGATCGTATCTATGCACGTCAACGAGCTATACTGCCGAACATGTCGATCGTCATTACGGCAGCGACCGAAAACGATAAAAAGCCAAAAAGACGCACAGGTCTGGAATGGCGCTGTGGGGATAGTTCGGGAAAGAGTTGCCGGGCGGGTAGGAGCTTGCGTGATTGTAGTCGGTCAGTTCTGGTGTTCAAGGATAGCGGTGAAGAGACGCAACGTCACGAGTAATATGCTACTACAACCTGGTGGATGAGAGTCACAGTCATATCGTTCAGTAGTAAAGTTGGGGTTGACAGAACATGTATTTTATTGTTCGTCTCTGCTATGTGTCTCAAACAAGTCTTCCACCGCAAATGTCGCAAAGCACAAAAAAATGGTATTGGGTATCTCCAAACTCCAGCTCCACCAGAGAAGTAGGCTATCGCATCGGCAGAAGAGTAGGCGATCATGACAAGAGGGCACATGCCACAGGCATCTTTGAAACAGGCCTCAAGTTGCATGAAAGATCGCATTCGCATTCGCTGAAGCGCCTCGTAGGGGGTATAAGGGTCGACCACCGAACAAAAACAAACGGTGGTGACCGAAACAGGGGGTATTGCAGAAAGGAAAGTAGATGTAGGAAATCCCAAAGCTCAAGTATTACCCAAGTATGATAGTGTGATCTCCACAGTTCATCAATCGTCGCAGACAAGAGAAAGTGTGATTACAAAGGAGTGTGGGGGTAATAAAGGGGTTTGGAAGTGCCCAAGTTGGAAAGCAGATTGAATGTAAAACAAGACCCAAGGACAAGTCCAAGGGGGTAAAGGGGGTATGATGCGAAGAGCGCAAGAACAAGACGTGAACGGACATGCATCCTCGTGATATGGGTTACAGGCAAAGGACATGAAGAAAGGCTTTGAACGCGTGCGCTCGTTGAATCAAAGACAGCGCACCAGTCGATGATGCACGGAAAGCAGTTTTCCTATCTCTTACAAGACGAGGTAGCCAACACCAGCAGCGAGGGCAACAACCATGGTGTTGACCTTGATGGACGCAGCAGCACCCTCAAACTCAGCAGGCTTGCTGGCAGATGGCGCACCAACAGTAGGAGCGGAAGCAGTAGGCGCAACACCGGAAGTACCGTTGCCAGCGTTGTAGCTGGGGATGATGGTGGGGTGGGTAGCAGAGATGGTGCTGGTGCTGTTGGCGGGGGTGTAACCGGGAGCGGGTGCGGAGCTGGACATGGTGACGGTGTTGACGCGGTAGACAGTGGAGGTGATGTAGACAGTGGCGTCGTATCCCTCCTCTTGAGCGAAGGCGACGGCGCAGAGGAGCGCGAAGATGGCAGTGAAGATCTGGCTGAAGGAGCGCATTTTGGTGGTTGTTGGTCGGTTGGCTGGTGGTGAAGGAGGGTGTTGGTAGTTGATATGCGACGAAGAATGCGCAAAAGCTTCGATGTCGAATCAGAAGATGGTGGTGGTTGCAAGTGTGTATGCGACGGGTTATGCGACAAGTTGCGCAAGGTGTGAGACAAGGTCGTTTATTTTTTGTTGGAGATGGTATGCGAGAGCAGTGTGGGATAGTCTGAGACCAAGAGAGTGATGTCAAAGATAGTGATGATAATGAGCGTGGAAGCAAGATGCTTTAAGAGAGTGTGAGTGAGATATATCTCGAGAGTTTTGGATCGTGCGTCTGTGAGGGTGAAGGGAAACAACGGCGAGTGGGGACCGCCCCCGGGGGTTGTATCGTGTCTTGAATCCTTGCCGCCTGCGCAATTTCCCTGAGAAAAGCGCAATTTCGGTCCCCTTAAGGCGCTAACGCAGGTTCGGCCACACTAGCGGGAGTGCCTGAGCAAGGAAGCTGCCGATCTAGCTGTTGGAGTGGGGACGTGCTGGCTTGGCTTGACGGCAAATCTCTGCAAACAACCCAGTCGTGGCAGTCTCGTGCCTGCCTGAGTTGAGCTTGACTGCCGAGGTACCCACTTTAGTTAACGTGCCTGCACCTTTCCACCTGCATCCTCGTGACTGACGGGTAGTGACCTCACTGCTCATCGCGATCACTAGGGCAACCTGGAAGACCAGGCTGTCATCGTATCTGTCGTCGCACAAGGTCAACCCCATAAGCCCCGACACTCGAGGGCCAAGTTTCAACCTTCTCCTCACGACTTTCGCCCCAGAGCATCCTCACACCCCATGCGTTCCACAATACACCAGCCTGAGCTCCGCACAGACCCTGAAACGAGCTCAGCGAATCGTGCCGTCGGCCCTCAAGGCGGAAACGTGACTGGAGCCAGCGCGACAAATGCTGTACACCGCACTTGGACACTCGTGGCACCCTACCCGTTGCGACAAGTGTACAGGCTATTGTTGTCCCGTCACCTTGGCAGCTCTGGAAGCAGACGGGACTGTACAACGAGAACAACGTCCTGATGGTGGTGTGGAACTCGCCAAAGAGAATTTCTTGCAAAGACTTTGCCTCAACAATGCAGCTTATGTTGTGACTCCAAGTCGTCGCGCAGTAGTAGCGCGCGAGAGTGTAGTTGCCCAGGCATGGCATTCTGCATGAACAACACATTTTTCTCCCACCGAACCCACTGTAGTAGCATCGCCAGAAAAGCAACGGTGAGTGACACATAAGAACAAGTCATGTCATCGCCTCGAGAGAAAGAATCCAGATTGGAGCTAAGGTTGCCCATCCAAGCGAGTAGAGCTCTGATTGGTTATATAGGCCGCACCACCCCTGCCATTAGTACAGTGCGAACTTTCGCTCATTTCCTGCCATTCCGCCATCGCGACCATTGGCATTATAGCCATTGGCAACGACGCCATTGCAAATCCAGCTCCTAACTTCCGCTCTCTCAAATGACAAGCCGCTCCCCAATGACAAGCCAAGCCGAATCATGTCTTGCCTCCGACCTTGGAGCTCCTTGGGGGTGCAATTCGACTTGACGCGCATATTACAAATTTGAGCAAACACGCGCGCGCAAATTGGACAAGTAATTCATCTTCCGCACTCGCTCTCGTCAAACCAATTGTCGTGTAGTGCCGAGTCGGATCGAACGCTCCCAAGAAGGTCAAGACAGAAAGGAACCACGACTCTTTGCCACTGCCACGCGCAAAGTTAGTTTAGAGCGCGAAAATGCAAATGCAAATGCAGCAACCACCAGAAGTTCTCCTCGGCTTCATTGCCGGCGCTGCAACATTTGCCAATGTGCCTGCTAGTCGAAAAGCCATGCCGTTTCCAGCAAGCTCTAAACAAACGCCCCTTGCGTATATGGAAACCCACGTGCATGCATTCCACGATAGAACAAAGACCCTCATCCCATGTCCCCCGAAAAGACTACGGCAAAATGCAGAGAGAAGGGAAGCAAGCGAACGCACGTACCTAAGGCAAAACTGTCTTGGCAATGTCTTCACACAATGGTCGCAAACGGCCTCGAGTCGTGTATGTTTGATCAGCGCGTCGCCAAACAAACAGACTTCAGTCTTCAGTCGGCTTCGACTATTTCAGCGCTCTCCCACAAGCGACGGCATATCTCCTCCGCTTCGTTTCGGCTACGCGCCTGGTCGCTCTCTAAACTTTGTCCTCCGGCTTCAAAGTCGTTCTCGTCGCGACTAGTCTTGCCGCGCCCTGCATCGTTCTCAAAACTGACTCGCGATCTCCGTGAGCTTGCCCCATCTGTTTCGACGCTGTTTTCGTTGAAACTTGTGCTCAGGCTGCTGGCACCTGTTGTGAAGCCGTTTGCACTGTGCGATGACTTGGGTATGCGCGTTTTGCGAGACATGCCAGGGGTTTGATATATCCGCGCAAGGGCGTCTGCAATCGGGTTGCGATATCTTCGCACCACGTTGTATTCGACCGCGACGTGGTTGAACTGCTGCTGTAGACGGGGATCCAAGCGTCCCTCGCCATTGCCATTGTAATGGATGCTAGACTGGAGGTATGTGGGACCGCCCGTGCGGGGCAGCGTTACGGGTACGAGCTTCTGCGGTTCAATGTTGGACGACGCACGCTGGAGCATGAGTTTCTGTTGTGTCCGCGAGGGGGGCAGATTAGTGGGTGTGGTTGTGCCGGAACGCTGAGGTGTTTTGGATGGCGTGTCTGCGCCGCCGTTGAAATTTGGCATCGACTTGTTGCGTTTGCTCTTGTCGAGTTCACCTCCATCGGTATCTTCCTTCAGACCATGCCCAGCCATGTATGCGCCGTCATGAGGTGTCCCAGCCGAGCCGTCTCCGTCCATAAAACGCGATACCAGATTGTGTCCCGGCGTGTCTACAAGCGTAGAACCAACGGACCCAGCCGTGTGACTGAGTAAATTGTGGCGGTCGGACGATGATACGACGGTCGCAGCGACTGACGATGTTTGAGGAGCAAGATTCCGCGAGGAGCTGCGCTGCAGTAGTCGCGAAGTGATCATGTCAGCATCTGGAGGCCGAGAATGTTGGTAAGAGCTCCCGCCGTTGGTTTGTGTGTTGTTGCGTGTGCGATCGGTGAGCGTCTGAGTCGCCTGGCTGGGCGCCTCCTGTATTGTCCCTGCCTGCTGTGATGGCTCTCCCCTATTCTTCTCCATGTTGATCTCCGCCGCTCTATGCTGTGCCTCGAGTATGACGGAGTTGGAGCGCGTGTTCGATCGGGTAGTCGTAGGTGACTGTGACGCGCTCTCTTCGGTCCACCCGCCTTCTTCTTCCTCGTCGTCGTTGGGCATATCAAAGTGAACCGCAGCGTGCGGCTCCGGCGAACTCTGCCGAGATCGAGTGGGGGTCGCGAGTGCACGCTTGGAAGCAGCGTTTTCGTTCTTTGAACCCTTCAGCGCGTGTTTTGCATGGCCTTGCCGCGGCGGCAGATGTCCGCTCGAGTGATTTCTGCGCAAGTTGGCTTGCTGATTGTTTGCTCTCACAATGGCACCAGATGACGCATGTCGCTTGAAACCTGGACGCGTATGTGGGCTACTGGGCGCCGAAACTGAATTGCCCGACTGTGAGCGACGGTGGTGTCGCCCTGTGTTTTCTGCACCCTGTAGTGCCTGCTGTGCCTGCTTCTCGGCTTTGTTCAGCTTGTTGAGATTCTTGCCAAAAGACGTGTTCCTCTGTACGCGTTGACCGACAACATGATGGCGCTGGCTCTTGTGATGAGCTGAGCGATGAGGGCCCTCAGACGGCGACTGCGAGATGTGCGATTGCGAGGATGACTGTCTAGTCATCGCAGCTGGCCTCTTGGGCCGCGAATTAGATTCATCTGCCGAAGCCATGCTTACGTTCGCCTACGCAGCGCGCTGCGTCGTTGAAGTAAGATTGGGGGGCCGTTTGGCTGTCGGCGCTGCACGTAATGATGCAAGTCTGCGGTGGTTCGTAGGAATGAAGTGGAGCAGCCAGCCCGGGGTTTCTTTGCGCTGGCAGCCAAGGAATCAATAGGCGGCCATGGAGTTCAATTGCGTGTGTTGGAAGCGTTGGGAACGTGATGCAGCGTGCCACGTTGGGCCCAATGATTCTCGATGGAGATGGTGGAGTGCATGGGCTGCCGTCAAATGAGTAGGCGGTGAATACGCCCCAACCGCTTTCGGTGACCGCGGCCCGTTCCAACGTCATATGACCGGGACATCCGACCCGCATTACTATTACCACAGCTATTCGCTCTCACTTCAATCTCCACAATTACCTTTATCAACGTTCTGCTATTAGAACTCGATTTCTAGGCCCTGCATATGTACAGTATGTATTGTATATGGAGTATTTCGCGTTGATCTTGATACATAATCGCGCGCATTGCGCAGTTTCCCAGTGTGCCAGCTGTAGGATCAAATGTTCGAGGGGGTCTCTCTTTTGTATCTACGAAGATGCCAGCTCTCAAACCCCAGCAGTCGTATGGTGTGTATTTCATACTCTTTGCGTCATCTCGTTCGTCAATCGTGATCGTGGTCTGGTGTCGCGCTCTGTTTGGTGTTGCCTTCACTTCGAACTTGCTCATCTGTCATCGCTTTTCATATCGCAAATGTATGAGCGAACCTCTTCAGCTTGCATTTCATTCCTTGCTGTAGCGCTGCTCGCTGCTGACTGATCTGGCGTTGCGCAGGGTTCATACCATCGATGCAGCCGAAGGAAGAGGTGGTGAGAACAGACTCGGGGCGAGAACGGTAAGACGGCGGTGGTAGCCCAGAAATGTACGTCGGTGCATCAGACAGATCGCCCATGGAGTCTTCTCGAGTAAGACAGGCAGCTGCCGTTGATGGTCGAGTGCTGTCCGCGCTACGTGCCGTACGCATGAAAATGGCGTTGACGCGCCGCTCGAAGACACTCTCAGTATCGCCAAGTCGCACACTTCCTGGTGTGCCCGTACGCAAGGGTAGATCTTCACGTGGCTGTTGATCAACCGATACAAGAGCACTAGTTCGTGTGGAGGGATACCGTGTTGACGGCTGCATGGCGGGACGAAGGAAAGATCTAGACCGAGACATGAGCATAGGAGCGGGGGCTTCATTGACATCCTCATAGGAGACGGCTAAGAGTGGCATCGACGCCGATTGTCTGTTGTGCTTTCGATCGCCCTGGCGTTGAGATTTAGTACGCAGAAGTGAAGGTATCTGAACCTGCATCTTCTTGGCGCAACGACGGAAGGCTATCCTTTGCTGGCTGTTGGCTGTCGATGGCCTGGCGATTCCGAGTGCTCCAGTCAACGGAACGGCATGTTGCGCCACGGGTGTATCCTTGACACCAGGGCTGGTCGCCGCCCTCCAGTAGGGAAGTCCTCCCATCAGAGGAGGCGAAGGCGTGTTTACGCTGGCATCCAACCAGGCATTAACATCCCGTATAATGCCCGAATCTGGTCTTGGGGGACGGATTGGAGGTAAGACTGGCGCCCGAGGTGAACCTTGCTCGACATCAATTGGGACCAGTGGAACTGCTGACGCATCGTCAAGATTTTGTGCAAGCTCTGTTGAAGGTGCTGTGCGCGGACGCCGGAGGGAATTCTTTCGTTGCATCTCGTTTGAGTCGTTGTCGTTCTTCAGTGTTTGGCGCGATGCCACTTTGCGCAGATGTCGCCGCAGCCACTTCTTCGCTGTTTCATGCTTGCTATCAGCTGTAGTAATCGTCTGTTCTGTAGTTGGTGCCGTCATGATGCGTGATTATAGAGGAGCTGCTGCGAGAATGTCGTACGGTGATTGATGCACGACGGTAACAGTAATGTAGAGAAGTTGAGGGTGTAGACGCAGCAGTCACTTCATGTAGTTCTAAGTGAGCATCTTCGCTGGCGGAAGGTGCGAGCAAGCTGCCGTTGTATAATAGGAACGTCATCGGGTTGGTTGAGAAAGTGCAGTCGTCGAGCTGCTCAACTGACAGTCACTCTGGATAATAAGGAAGGCACGTTTTGGAGCTTTCACTTATGAATTTGATGAGAGCCCAAGCATTTCTCATTGTTACCAACTGTATGGAAGCGACAATACAACCAATCCATTGTGTCTACGCTCCTAATAATCAAAATCCTCAAACACTACTTTCTGTCCTTCTAGCCATCCTGTAACTATTTTCCTCATCCCCTTTCCGGCACACACGTACCATGTATCAGCCTGCATCGCCTGTATATCACTCTTCGTCATTCTTCTTTCCACAACCTCAGCCTCCGATTTCACGTGATCCTTCATCTTAGTTAAGTCACCGTCTGTTCCGCCGCCTGTCAGAAACACCGTCGTACAAGCTCCTAGGCCATGATACCGTCGAAACGTATCATACACCAACCCCACATCCTCACTCCGTACGGCCCAAATCAACTTGAATCCTCCAGCTCCCAAACCCAGCCCACCAACTTGTCCGAGCAACGGCGTGCCCCCCACTCCGCCAGCCACAAAAACCACCTTACGCCCATCGGCCTTTTCGATCTTGAACTGACCCCCTACACCGAGGGCACCTATCTCCAACCCAGCCCGCTCATTTTGCTGGAAGAGGAACCGTGTAACAGTCCCAACGTTCCGTATAGTCATCTCAAACTCACTTTCCTTCTCATGGTCTTTGCTAGGCGTGGAGGAAATGGTAAACGTCCTCACAAAGTCATCGTTCAGACTTCCAGGATCATCATCGCGCATGTGTTCGTACCCAATGTCCAACTCTTTGCTAAAATCTAGCGCAATCCATTGCCCAGATTGATATGTTATGCCATCTCTCACAGTGAAGGTGAAACGAGCAATACTAGGCGTGAGAACCTCTTTCTTGGTCAAAGATGCCATGGTGTGAGAAACGGAGAGTTTGCCGCGTATGTTCCCTTCAGAAGCAAGGGTGCGCACGAGCGGATTATATGGGCTAGGTGTCTTCTTCGAGCCACGAAACGGCAGACCATTGGCTACAAATCGGCATTCTGAGATGGTTATCTTGACGGCCAGATTGCTACTGGGCAATAGGGCAGCTGCATCTGCACCAGCGAGGATGTCAGTTGTGCCGGTCAGGTAAAGGACATCTCCCGTTTCGTAGTCTGGAAACACGATACCAATCTTGGGGTTGAGCATTAGATTACCGAGGGACTGATAAAGCCGGTTTCCGGAGTATTCGGGGTAGACAAGAGTGCTTGAATCTATCATCCGGACGAATCCCGCTGGTCCACCGCGATGGTTGACATCCATGTCGTCCTCAGTTGTTGTAGATAAGAAAAACATGTCGGATCTCGCAATGAGTTCTTCTCCTTCTTTTGATAACGCTGAGGATTGTGATACTGATCTTGCGTTTACTAGCGCTGGGCGTATTTCGTATTGATTGAGATACTTGGGACAATTTCCTAGGCTTTGTTCTATCTTGGTGACGAGTTGAATCTGTTCTTGTTTCTTGTCTGCCTCACCTTCGATCTCAACGTCGATATCCCTTATTGCTCCTGCAATCATACGCCCGGCGGTTTTGACTCTTTTCCTCGTCATCAGATCGATAGCTAAACCTGCTACTAGTTTGCCACCGTCTTTTGCTTGGGTCATCTCGCCCTTCTGATTCTCACTTGTCAGCGCTTGCACGACAGGATCGTACGTTCCATCGACGAGTGTTCGCGTGCCGATGAAGCCTCCACCAAGCTGTTCAGAGAAACCAGGCTCGCCACCCCATAGTGTCGCCCATGGTCTAGATTGTGCATCCAGTGTTCCGAGTGCGAGTAGAGGAGCACGTTGGAACATAAAACTGGCTTGTGGTGTGAGCATAGCCGATGTTGGATTGTCTTGGGGTGGAACGCGGAGGAGGTGATGCATCTTCTCTTCGCCCTCGTTCCAGGGTATCCCTATTGAGAACGCCATCTTGTGAAAATGTGTGTTTGATGTAGTAAGAATTGATATGGGTTGTTGATCGAATGTCGAGAGTCTCCCGGTCCAGCTCTGTGTTATATAGCTCCTGTGGAGGGGGTCTCCTGCATGTCATCCTCTACATCGGAGTCGTAACCATCGGCAGTGTTGCCGTCGGCATTGGATCTGGTAAGCAAGTCGTTGCAATGCGCGGCCGGCATTCGGAGTGTCATCTACAGTGCCACAGCAATGTGTCGGCATCGGCAACATCTCAAATGTCGCCATTCGACTCGGCCCTACATTGCGGGGAACAGGAACTAGTCCAAATGAGTCGGGGAGGCGTACAATTGAGAACCCGCGCTAATTATGAACCTATCTATCATCAAACGCTAGGTCGTATGCAGACAGCATCATAACCCGTGAAGACGAGATTCTGCTCTAGATCTGGCGTCACATCAATTCGCTGATACTACAGCATCTATCTATGCTCACCAATAATCATCTCTGCCGCCTTCTCAGCGATTCCGTACACAAGCGTCTGAAGATGGGCGCTCGGCAAAAGAGGAATAATGCTCGCATCCACTACCCTCAACCCACTGGTACCGTAGACCTTCAGCTCTGAATCCACAACACCGCCAGCCTTTTCCGGAAGCAACGCAGCAGTACCAATAGGATGATAGATACTCAACGTGTTCGCAAGCGCATACTTTCGCCAGTCCTCATCAGTTTGGACTGCATTGCCCGGCTCATACTCTTCGGTCCAGACCTCGCTCATGGGCTTCGTAGAGGCGATCTTACGCAGATATTTGGCGAGATTCGTAGCAGCTGCAAGATCGTAGGGATGGGATAGGTAGTTAGGGTTGATAAGAGGCTTATCGCTCACGTTTCGAGAGCTGATGTGAACATTGCCCTTGCTGAGAGGGTGTTGCACAACACCAATCAGTGCAAAAGTGCCGATGCCGAACTGAGAGGAGTTGGCAGCAGGATAGCCTTTGAGGCCAGTGTAGCCGTCTGAGAAGATGACTTCTAGTTGGGGTACTTTGGTGCTCAAAGCTGGGGAGAAGTATGTCTTCTTCAATCTGTCGGTTGCGGAAACCAAGCTCTTGTCGTTGTCGACGAGGGTACGGAGCTGAGAGGCCGTTTCGTTGCTGACAGTACCCCAGGGGAAGTATGCATAGCCGCTGGCTGTGTAGTCGTAGAGTGACTCGCGGTCTGCGTTATACAACGCTAGCTCGGCAGCCGCACGGGTGGCGTTCTTGAGGACATCGAAGGAAGGGTATTCGGGTTTCAATTGATAGGAGACTTGGATGCGGATGTGGTCTTGGAGGTTTTCGCCCACGTATGGCAAGTGCTTGACAACGGGGATGCTAAGTTTCTCAAGGAGTGATGCATTTCCGACACCGGAGAGTTCGAGAAGACCGGGGGTTTGGAAGGAGCCAGCTGAGAGAATGATTTCCCGCCGCGCGGTGATTGTAGTACCATCTTCGAGGGTGACTCCTGTGGCAGTTGTTCCTTTGAAGTCGATCTTAGCCACACGGGTGTCTAGCTTCAAGATCAGGTTGTCTTTGGCGAGTTTGAGATACTCTGGGGCATAGGAGCGAGTGTAGTTCGGGCTGACATTGCTGGGTTGAGTCGAGACGCCGATGGGGTTGCCATTCAGACTTTCTCGGTTTGTCGTCAAGCCGAGAGCATTCATCGTAGGATACCATGTCGATTGATGTCGCGGGAAGATTCTGTTGATGAGTGTGCGAATAGGTCCAGTTATACCGACTCCTTCGGTGCCATATGCGGGCGACGGGAGGAAAGTCTCACACTTCAACATTGCCGCATAAAGACTCTTCCAGTTCCATCCTTTGTTACCGAGCTGCTTTTCCCAGGCATCGAGTTCGAATTTGGAAGTCCTGTCCCACGTCATAAGATTGAGCGCAGAGCTACCTCCGAGGACCTTGCCACGGTTTTGCGCGAAGACGCGGTTGTTGGCACTGGGTTGTGCAATGGTGGTCAAGTTCCAATCGTATTTGCCTCCGAGTGTTGAGCCTTTTCTTCCCGGCACGGAGATTCCAGGTTCCTGGCGGCCATCGGGTCCAGCTTCTATGACGAGGACGCTGAGGTCTGGAAGGCCAAGACTGATGCGCGAAGCAACCGCGAGACCTGCAGTTCCGCCTCCAATAACTATCTTATCGCTTGTTAGATCATCCCTAGAGCTGGAGTGTGGACTCCAGGTTTCTGAAAGCAACGTACAAAATCGTAAGAGCTAGAATTAACTGGCAGACCTTCCTCTCGCCCGACAACTGCTGCGCTGCCATGCCCCAACAGCACGGACACAAGTAATGTGGAAGTGAATGTCTTCATGATTCTGCCGTAAAGGGAAGCGCCGTGTTCTCCAGATGTCGATACGGTCGACGAAGAACGTGAAGCCTCGTAAAAGCTCTTTCTCGAGCATACCAGCTTGATATAAATTGCATGTCAGCACTACCGAGCTAGGAAATGCATGCTAGCGATATGCAGAGCCGAGTCCGAGATCTAAGATTCCATATGCAGGAGCGGCCTGGAATCGTTTGTTGCTATTATCCGATGCAAGACGGGACAAGGTACCGGCAGAGCACCCACTTTTGGCTGCGCATTTACGCCTGTCTACCGGGTATGGTAGATAATTAACCCGGACGCCTGGACATGACTTTCCTTTCGACCTCCGATCTTTTTCATAGTCGTGCTCTCGTGGCAGTGCAACGTCAGACTGCACCTAACGAGGGACCGTAGGTTCGTGAGGTCTGAACACGCCCTCGAGACCAATGTAAGGTCCGAAGTCCTCTTCGGATGCTCTGCCGCAGTGTGGACCCGGGAGGCAATGGGCGGGAACTAAGAGCTCTTCGCGTGACAGCACACAACGCGCGAGTCGCATTACGCTCCATCGGTCTTATATAGCAGTGGCCATGGTAGTATGTGCAAAGACCTTGACCGCAAGGCTTAGGCGTACCGCCAAGAATACCTCACCATTGGTTTGGATACGCACACACGGCAGAGCTACGGATGCAAGAATGATGAATGTGAAGCAGTAAGGCATTGTTGAATGAGGATAAGCCATTCTAGAAAGGTGCGCGTGGATATCCGCGCTAGTCAGTGTCCCGTCCTCTATCAGCAGGTACGACATCGCAATCCTAAAACTAAATTCATCCCACCTTCTAGCTAAAGATCAGTCTCCAGCCATGGTGAGCACGTATCTCGACCGGATGCTTTCTTTTTGTAAGGTGCCATTTCGGCGCAACAATCACAATACGAGAAAGCTGAAAGCTGGTCAGACCAGGGTGCCAGGCCAGCTGGACCCCTAACTTAGTCTTTCTCCGCGTCTCAAGCTTGGAAGAGGCGAATGTTGATCAACCACTAACACCACCATCGTCGTCGTCTAACATACTGAGTCTTGTTCGCAAGACATTTAAGTCCCTATCTTTGCGCGTTCGATCCAACCATGGCAATGCGCAAGAACCGGGTGAAGCCTACAGCCTACCCGTTCCTACCTTTCCATATCATACGATGCGCACAATTACTTTCTTCACTTGTAGTAGCGAGCATCATGTTTTATTTCCTTCGTGAATTATGGCATGATGGGTATAGATTACCTTGGACATTCATTCTGGTACGTATTCCTACCACATACAGCATCGCAATACTAACATTTGTCCCAGCTAATGTCGGTTTCCCTTTTCACCCTCGCTGCGCTCACTTGTACAATCTTCCTCCATATCCGTTACGGGCTATCTGCATCTCTCAACCTCACCCTCAACGCCGTCCTCGCACTTCTCTGGGCTGTGTCTTTTGCTCTGCTAGCATGGTGGTGCTCTGGCACATTGGCACATGTATGCGATGCGCAGAATTGGGAGTCGGAGGCAGGGATAAGTGTGTGCAGGATGTACAAGGCGCTGTTCAGTTTTGCATTGCTGGGCTTTGTGGCGACAGCGCTGGCGTTGGGGTTGGACATCAGGGTTATGAGGAGCGCGAGGAGGAGAGGCGTCTTTCAGCAATTGGATGTGCTGGATGGTGGGAATGGGAAGAGAGACGGCGAATTGGGAGAGGAGGATGTCAATCCAAATCCAGTCGCAGCACAAGCCCAACGGGCGAGGGGAGGGGATGGGTATGCGCTGCCGGAAGAGCAGTTTGAGTATAACGATATTGGATATCAAGGCGCAGCAGGGCAGATTGGGAGAAGTAGAATATGAAGAGAGTAGGAGGTTATGTTATAAGGATTATTGACACGCTATCTTGAACGCCGCCCAATGCTGGCATGATGCCGGGTATCACAGTGCAAGAAACTAAAAAATGTCGTCCATGATGGCATCCCTGCCATTCATGGCTGCAGCCGCGGCATGCTCTGTGCCAACGTCCGCATCCATTGACATTGAGGGAGCCTCCCGCGCAGTAATTTCGTCTTCAACGAAAACACCCAAGCCACCGAAAGCTTCGCGTAGTGTCCGACTGCAGTAGTCTTGCAAACTGTGCCCTCCCACTAGATGTGCCGAATCCTTCTTCATACGTGCGTACCAGTCCACATCGTAGTTGTCCTGAAGTACGTAATATTGAGGTGCGATGGTGTAACCGCCGAATGGATCGAAGGGTGCTTCCACGGGTGGCGCGACGCGCTTTTTGAGTCCGCGGATCACGAAACCGCCGTCAACATCATCTTTGAGTGCAGGGCCTTTGCGAGCGGCGGCTTCTTGCTCAGCCTTTTGGAGAGCCTCGAATTTTCTCAATTTCGCCCAGGTCGCGTCCACGTCGATGTTGAGGATGAGATTCCAGTTGATCTCTTCGACCTGCTCGAGGTAGTCATTGTAGTCCCTAAGCGTCTCAAAATCGTCTTCTGTTTTGTTCATGCTGCATGGCCGTCAGCTACATCTTACAAGGGTCGATACGTCGCACTTACATCTTCATGACCTTCTTCCTGAGATCCACCTCTCGCTCCACCTTCAGATCCTCGAAAGTTGCCCTCCGAAAGTTCCTATAGGCAAGCGTCTTTGCGCATCCTGCAACAGGACATATACTGTTGCCTTTGCCAAACAATCGTTCTACACAGGTATCGCACATCTTATGGTAGCATATTGGGTTGATTTTGAACTGCATATTGGAGTTAAGGAAGCGCGACGACCTGCATACGGGGCACGAGTCTGAGGCATCGTCAGCGAGAGAAATGGAACGAGGCATTTGCTGCAAAGACAAGCTGTAAAGGGTTTTGGAGAGTGACGCACCGCCATCTTGCTGCTTCGACGCGTCGGCGCCGCGCGATTTCGACATGGCGGAGGTTGTGGCGGAGATATGCTTCCAAGCTTGACGGATATGGGACCTCGGGAAGTTGAAGGATGGTGCTGACTCAGCGTGTAGAAGTCGCTGGCCGTTTTATGAGATCAAAAGCATGACCGGGCAGCTAGGAATGTATATGAGGGGATGATATCAGCGACAGTAAGATTCACGCACTCCTTCTGTCTGACAAACGACAGACCGGCGATCTGTATGCAGGCGTAGCATGGTTTCCCTTGTGGGGCCAGCCGCCAAGACCCGCGCTTTTTCTCGTACACAAAATTCCTGCATCTTTCTTTCCTCTCTCGCACTCATACTCCCACCACAACACCAAAATGGCAGCCTCAACACAGAGCGCTCTAGAGGAGCTCGAGCGCAGCCGTGCGCAGCTGCAGCAAAATGTCGATAAGCTGCGCAAAGCACTCTCCCACTGGACGACCTGGGAGGCTGAGTATGAGACGCTGAAAGAAGAGATTCAAGAAGCCGGCGATCCCTCGCCCTCACAGATACGTGAGATGGCACGCGACCTCGAACTTACCCTGCTGGACCAGAAGGAAGTTGAGGAGCTGCTCTGCAAGAACTCGCCATCGGAACGCACTGCTAACCAAGTTATTGACATGATCTCTAGACGCGTTGACTATGTTCGGACGAGTAGTGCTACTATCGAGAAGAATCTTGACACTGCCGAGAAGAAGCTTGCTGGCGTCGACGTCCTGTTGGAGCCAGGCATGGACAACGAAGAGGGCGAGCCGATGATGGACATCGAAGAAGAACTGGATGATGAGGGCAACGAGGTCTCGAGCTCTGTCAACCAGACGGGCAAGGCCGCAGCTGAGCTTGTTGAGGTTCTGCGCAAAGCTGGCATCCAAAAAGCTGAGCTGGAGAAGAAGAATGCAGAAGAAAAGGCTCAAGACACACCAGCTTCACACACCATGTCAGAATCGAAGTCTTTTCCGCCGCTTTCCGAATCCACTCCTGCCACGACCGACAGCCAAACTTCAAAATCAGCGCCTTCGAAGAAGGCTGTGTCCTTCTCCGAAAAAGTCGAAGTCGAACCGGCTGCCAAAGCGGTACAAGACACTGACGAGGATGAGGCTGCAAAGGTCGCCTCACTGCTCTTCCCAGAGGGCACACGTGCCATCGACCTTGAACAGGACGATGTGGACTTGTCCAATGCTATCATCCCAAGCGATGAGACGCCAGAGGAAGCTGAGCTGAGGAGGCAAATGCTGCAATATGGCATGTCAGAGATCGGGCAGATTGTCGCCGAACTTGATCTGGACCAGCCTACTGCGTCATACTCGGACGAAGAAGATGACGACGATTATGGCGACTATGATACCGAAGACGAAGAAGAGGAAGACGAGTACGGTCGCAGCACTAAGCCAGTCATCACCGAAGACTATCGAAAGCAGATGATGGAGCTCGAGAAGAAGTTGGGCGCTCGTATGCTTGAGAACGTGGGGCCTGAGTCAGGAAAGCACTCCCTTGACGAGCACATCGGAGACATTCGCACAATGCGTGTGAAGCGTGACGATCAGTTCGACGAATCTCTGGGCACCTCTTCGGCCACGCCAGCAACAGATGATACCAAGGAGCCAAAGAAGAAAGGAGTACGCTTTGCCGATAACCTGGACATCTCTGAGGCACCAAAACCAGCACAGCAACCGGCTCGAGCTACCCAGCCAGTGGCAAAATCAACTCCAACCATATCCGATACCATCGTTGAGCGGTCTGCAGTTCCTGCAGCACCAGTTGAGCCTCCCAAGCCTGCCAAAGTATCCAAGTTCAAGAGTGCCCGTGCTGCAGCAAACACTGCGCCCCAGGTGCTGCCGACCCCTTCTGTACCAGAACCACCACCTGTACCAAGTGGTCCTGTTGGACGAACAATAGCCAACACTATAACTGAGCACGCTCCCTTGCCATCAGAACCTCAGGCTCCTGATGAGTTTGATGCAGTTCTTCTGAACCGCGAGATTCAAGCGGAGTACCACAAGGCGCGCAATCGATTCATCCAGCGACAGGGTGGATTCAAGGCTACTGAAGAGGACGAAGAGAGTCCGATTGTTGAAGAACGAGATGGCAAAACAAAGAAGGTGAGCCGTTTCATGGCGGCCAGACTCAAGGCCGAGGGTATGTAACATGTCCACACAACGTCGCCACCACGTTTCTATCGTCCCCATTCTCTTTGATATGTCATATTCTCATCGCGTACCCTTCTGAGGGTTACGTGTGCACATTTGCACAGCGCAGGGCAAAGCTGAAAGATGCTTTGCCACCGGAACAATCCATGTCCGTGACAGATACCATCCCATGTATCATGAATCACATTACATTCGTTCCAAGATCAAAACAAACGGTACCACTAGACTCGCCGGGCCAAAAACTATGCCTACTCGAGGTTCATATGCTCCGTACATATATATCTCAAACGCCATTATTGGCATGAATGAATCGAAGATGTTGAAACTTGAACTTTTTGGTGTTTTCGCATGAGTGAATACATGGATGCGACAATGCGAGTGAAGCTGCAGGAACCATGTAGCACGACTTCAGACGAAAAGGCTGGCAAACCACCGACTCTGTAGTTTAGTACGTCAGATGTCATGGCGGGGCGCGGATAGTGGGGTAACCTCCTGGCGGCCGACGTGTAAATTTTTGGTCAACGCCGCCTGCAACCATGACTTCCGACTCGAGCTCCTCCACGCACTCCGATTCGCCGCCTACGACTCTCCATCTTTCGTCGCCGTTTGCAGACACGACCAAAGACTCTGCTCACCTCGCCTTTGCACCCATAGCGCTGGCGCAATACCACAACGTTGCCGAAAAACTGGCCTCCAACAACCTCTACCGCATCCTACGCGCACCAGGACCCATCCGTGTATGGGTCTACCGATCGCTACTCGCCGAAAATCAATTGTGGAATGACTGGGACCGTCGCGCGCTGTCACAACCCGACCTGAAGACGGAATCTAGCGAAGGCATGGCCGAAGGCAGCATCAACGATACCGAGAGCATGGGCGAGTCTGAGCGCCCAGAGAGTTCAGGCGGCATACATGCGCGACCCTATCTTACCCGACTCCGCCTGGCGCTCGCGCCCTATACCGTACATTTCCACAACCCAGGCTATGTCAGAGACGATACGTTGCGTATGCTAGAGCGGGACGTGGTCAAGAAGACACTGGAAGAGTCTCGGAAAAGCCTGGAACTGCGCGAAGAACTCGGCCTTTCGTGGGAGTTCTGGGACGATCTTGCGGGCGTGCTGAAAGCCGCTATACCCTCACTCGAGCGCCGATGTTTCGCTGCGCCGGATCCTGCCGCCCCAGAATACGAAGGTCTATCGGGCCCGTTGATCGCAAGCTATTCCCCGAGTCTGCTTAGGGATTTGGAAAGATTGAACCAGCTTGTGTGTATAGCCCGGAATGTGCAGGTGCATGGAGAGAAGGTGCAGAACCTGAGCGCAGACAGGCTGTTCGACAAGGACATTTTTGCGCTGATCAATGTCTGTGTACGAGTCACCGCACGCGGCTACGACGGCGAGGCTGGGACCCAGGACGAAGATAAATGGCAGGGTGTCATCAATGCATACAAGAAGCTTCTCATCACATGTTTGCAGTTCCTCAACAACCTCATCGCACGCAACGAGCAGCGCAAGCTTATGCTCTGGATCGAACTGTTTGACAGCCACCTCGACAATGAACTACCAAACTTTGCCGACATGAAGTACAAGATGGATGAATTCCCACAAGATCAAGGACCGCCACCTGAGGAACAACCACTACCAACAAATGCAGCGCGTAGCTTAGACACATTCAAAATCCCACAGCAACCTGCATCTTCGCCCTTCCTACTGTACATTGGCGAAACGGGCAACGATGTCAAGAAGGCCCTGATACATCATGGTGTCAAAGCAGGCGCCAACGAAATC